TTTGTACTTTTAAAGCAAAGTGTTACAATCCATACAGAATTACTGGAATTCCAAGTACAAGTTAATAGCAGAGTACGATCAGCAAAGAAAAAAAAAGAAAAGAATCCGATCTCATGCTTCATATGCGATTGTTTCTGAGCAACCTCCGAGTCTCTATAGTGTCCATGAAGCCGGCCACTGCTTTGCTGGACGCCGCTCAATTCTCCGAGTCAATCCCTCCAGCCCCTCTATCTATTTAGCTTCACGGGAGGAGTGTAAACTTAGCGCCTGGATCCTTGACAGCGCCCCCATTCTCCACTGGCGTCCTGGGAGCAGTTCATTCAAGTCTTTTCGTGGCGGACGGTCAGGACTGAATCAAATAGTGTCCTGAGGAATATCGGACGGCTGGCTGCTTTACAACTTCAGTAGGTTCTTCTCATCTCATTTTTGTGTTATTGGAGGGCGACGTTTTGGCTGTAACATGTCCGTCGAGAGCGCGGCCAGCACCATCAGCGACATGGATGTGAGCAATGCTGATGCTACATTGCATCTCAAGGTCCACAATTCGGCAGATCTTAAGTAGTGTTATATTTTGAAGAAGTCAGTCTTGCTTGAGTGAACTTACCGATCACGCCAAGTTGAGGGAGACCATCTACCCAGAGTTTATCTTTTGGGAATGGCGGGATCGAGCAGACGATGAATGCGCCGAGGTACGAGTAGGATTGGAAGCGCAAGATTTCTCTCTGGCTTACGCGTAGGATTGGAAGCGCGAGATTTCTCTCTGGATCCCGAGATGGAGAAGATTTGGTGCATTTTCTTGCTGGTGTCGACCTGTGCCGGCGTCTCGTTCCACGCCACGCTGCATCGCAGCGATGCGCTATTGACGACTGATGCTCATTGGTACACACAGACTCTGGATCACTATGCGACTCAAGTGGGAAATTTTCTTTGTTTGTTCTTCGAGAGATTGGGTTTTTACGTGCTCGATCTTTGCAGGACGATAGAACTTTTTCTCAGCGCTACTATGAGTTTACGGACTACTTCGATGCTCCCAACGGGCCAGTGTTTCTCAAGATATGTCCCGAGGGACCGTGTGTAGGGATCCAAAACGATTACAGTGCGGTAAGAAAACTTTTTGCTCGATTGAACTGGATCGCTTTTCTTACCTGCGGTGTCAAGGTGCTAGCGAAAAGGTTTGGAGCCGCGATTGTTTCTCTTGAGCACCGATACTATGGACAAAGCTCGCCATTCAAAATTCACGCGACAGAGAACTTGATTTATCTATCTTCCAAGCAGGCTCTTTTCGATCTCGCAGCATTTCGTGAATACTACCAGGTGGCAGCTATTTCATATAGTTTCACGACTTGAATAGAGGCTGTGTTGCAGGACCTGATTAATCATAGGACCAACTCTACCAGGGACAATCCTTGGATCGTAATTGGATGGTCATACGCTGGAGCATTGAGTGCCTGGTTTAAGCTGAAGTTTCCACATTTAGCGGTTGGAAGCGTTGCAAGCTCTGGTATTGTCCAAGCAATTTTCGAGTTCACTAAGCTCGACGAGCAGGAAAGCCTTTACCATCTTTTCCTTGATTTTATCTCCAAGCGTTCGTATACACCTGCAGGTTGCCGAATCCGCCGGTGCTACCTGTAGCGCTGCTTTGCGTGCCGTGACCCGTTTAGCAGAGCAAGGCCTGAAGAAAAACTCTGTGTCTACGAAAGCATTGTTCAATGCTGAACAGGTAACTTCTGGTCAGTCTTAGATCTCACGCCGATTAAACTTTGCAGCTCGACGTGGATGGAGATTTCCTGTATTTGCTAGCTGAGGCTGCGACCACTGCGGTATAATTTAGTTCTTTCCTCTGCCGCCTGATATTTTCTTTTTCTTACGCAGTTTCAGTATGGTAATCCAGAAATCTTGTGTTCGCCACTTGTTGCTGCGTATAAACGTGACGAGGATCTACTGGTATGTGCGTGAAAGTGATGCCGCTGCAGATAATTTTCTTGTCGTTCAGGCTGTGTATGCGAAGTATGTCAAAGATTACTACATAGACACATTTAAATCGAGCATCAATACTTATGATCAAAAGCACTTGAAAGAAAACTTGGCTGCAGGAGATCATTCGAGTAAGTCTAGCGTTGAGCTTGAGTTTTTGCTGATGGTCTGCTTGTAGGTGATAGATTAGGGTGGTACCAAATGTGCACCGAATTGGGGTACTTTCAAGTGGCGCCTGCAAACAATAGCATTCGCTCTGCTCTCATCAATGTCAAGTACGTACTCATAAGCTGTATCATCTTATCCAATGTCCTGCTGCTTGTGCAGGTACCATTTGGATTTATGCTCCAACGTCTTCGGGAACGGCACATTCCCAGAAGTCGATGACACTAACCTTTGCTACGGGGGAAACAAGATCAGAGGTATTTCCCAGTTGATGTTGTCCGTTGGCAGCCATCATTCATCCTTTGTTTGTTGTAGGAGATAAGATTTTGTTCATGAACGGTTCCCAAGATCCTTGGCGTCATGCCTCCAAGCAAACTTCTTCCCGCAATGGTAAGAGAGCCATCATAAGCTATGTTGTTTCAAATCAGCTTTTGATGCAATTGCAGAGCCCGCATATGTGATAAAGTGTCAAAACTGCGGTCATGGAGTTGATATGCTAGGCTGTCCGCAGTCCCCGCCTCAAATCCGAGGTAAACCCATGGATTCCATTACTCACATTTGATGGCATGTGTATATATCCTTGCAGGAAACACCTCGAAGTGTGCCGACCCGGAGGCTGCACAAGCGGGTCAGAGGATCATAGCGACTTACATCTCCCGCTGGCTCGAAGACGCGAATGGCTCTGTAAAGTACATGTAAATCCTTGTGAGTGTTCGACCTCTCTAGATGGATTTCCATTTCATTGTTTTCACATTGTTTCAGGCTAGTTTTCGAGATGCAAAGTTCATGTTCATGGTCATAATCCTTTTATTTCCTCCGACAAAAACTCAAGAAGAAAACCATTTTTTGCAAATGAAGCTGAAGGCTTGCCACTCGACACAGCAGGCGTTGGAACCTGGTCATCTTACTCACTTTTTCATTCTTGTGTGACTGTTTGCTTTGATCATGAAGTATATTAATCGCGAGCAATCGAAGAAACTCGAGATACTTTCTTGTTAGGGCGCTCCATATAAGCCGAGCTTTGAGTGAAATTCTTGAGCAATAACAGCTTTCTTTCTCCTCGTTTTCTTTGTCTCTTGGAAGAGGAAGCAGCTGCGGGAGGAAAAGAAGCAGCTGCGGGCGAGAACACCCCTGTTTGTTCCAATTGCAAGTTTAAAATCTGGGAAACTTCTTTCATTGGGAGAGATCCTTGACGAAGCAAGCTTTCCCTAAACGAGGGACGGAATATCCATATAAATGTCGTCTTGTCTTCTAGATATCTATGAGCAGCAACTCTGAAAGGATAAACAAGAACCACGATCTTCGTGATGATAACAGCGTCAACTTGGGCACTCGCTTTGAACGTAACAGCTTGATCAGCAAGCAAGAGCTTGTCCAATGCTTCTATCCATCACAAAAACGATCAAGGGTGGCTTTGTAGCGTCAGCAAGTCTTCGAACAAAGCAGCCTCTTGCTTGTGCCTCCCACTCGTATCTATGATAATAAGATCGCGCTTGGGATCCTTGGGCGATCACCACATGTCACTCTCGGTGTAGCTCCCCATAGAACGGGATATTGGTCTTGCAGTTGCTCGCGTTTTGTTTTAGCTAATCTGACACGATACATAAGATCTCATTGAGATAATTTTTTCAACGGATTACCACATCGATCCTTTTCAAACGCTGTTTTTCCGGGCTCCAGGATGGATCTAGAAAACAACACATATTCCAATTGTATAAACTCTAAAAACATATGCAATGGGAAGAGCGAGTGAATGATCGTCTCTTGTTATGCTCAGCTGCTAAATTCTCCACAGGCTTTCTCACGTTCAGAGCCAATGTCTCAACTAACTTCCCCAGCACCATTTTTGTCTAGAATCAACATTTAAGAACACTAGAAGGGAACAAAAGAATAGAGTACCTGGTCTGAAAAGAACACCATCCAGTCGAGAGCTTTCTTCCGTGCTAGAGATTTTCGATATACAGCATGACGAGGAACACTGGTGCAAATAGCCGAGACAAATTTCACTCGAAATCTGTGAAAAAAGATAAGAAACTAAACAATCATTAACTTGGAAAATGAATAAACAAGTAAAAGCCAACTTTACATCAAAGCTTTCAAGTTGGACCATCTGGCAACGATATCCAGAAAGTTCTCAGGACCGTATCCAAGAATCCAGTTGCATCACAGCCCCTGCATTGTCGAAGATGGGAAAGATTCAACCCTTGCGAAAAACAACAGAGTAGCGATCAAGCTCGTAACTTGGAAGCATGTACACTCATGGCCTGGGAAAGATCCTTGGCATCGCGGCAGGACCTTAAAAGTTCGGTCCCTAACAGCCATTCAGCTGAACCCAAATTCTAACGAATTCAGCTGAAATGAGGAAGATCACTCTTGGAGATCCTTCTGTCTGTGACATCTCGCTTTCCTCCATAGAAGGCAAACACTGAGTTGTCTCGGTTGTTGTCCAACTCAACCGGGACTAAGCCACTAGTAGCGCGTTTCCATGAATCTCGTCCACACAAACAAGCTGGGATAGCGTTTACAAGCGGTGCCAGAGCAAACTGCTCGAGTGCCACACTCTAGAATGCAACCATGTTCGGCTCCTCTATCTTCACGAAGACATTCCCGCAGAAAGACATGCACTTCCCATACATCTAAAGAGATGCCTGTGAGAGGAAGTAACTCAAGTGTGCTTGCCTTGGTCTCCTTCGGATCGACGACCAAGAATTTGAGCGCGATATCATTCTTGTATTCCTGCGAGGAAAAGTCTGTGAAACTATGATCGAGAGCTTTGATCGTATCTTTCCAGTGAAGCCCTAAAAGGTCCTGTTAAAAAGTAACATTTAGAGCTCTTTAACAAAGATCATAAGGCCCTAAAAATGGCGCTGGAAGGGAGTAGCGGGAGGAGCTTCGTCGATTGCTTTCATCTCTTCAAAGAGGGAATAAGACCACTGTGGGAGGTATAGAATTTCTCGGTCCATCCTTTTTTTTCTTAGATACAATCCTTTATTTTCTCTCTCGTCAGGATACTGCAAATCGAAACGGTGGAAAATGGATTGTTCGCTTTAAGAAGATCGTATCCGGTCGATTCTGGGAGGACTTGGTATAGTCATTCTTTCTCTCCCTTTTTTGTTTCTCACTTCTTCTCAAGTTTGTGACCGGCTAAAAATGTTTTTTTTTTAAATTCTCACAGGTGCTCGCAATGATCGGAGATCAACTCGAATACAGTGACAGCCTCTGTGGAGCGGTGCTGAGCATTCGTTTCGGGGAGGACATTTTGAGCGTCTGGAACAGGAACGCGTCTGATAATCAGGTATGGTTTGGAAGTGAACTGTCTGCGCCCTTGCAGAAAACAACGGAAGGCTGTGTTTGCTGCAAAGCGATATTCCGGGGATTGCTCCCTCCCGTGGCTGGCCTTGAATCCAAGCGGCGGTGGAGCGTGGCTGGGATTGCCTCCGGCGGAGTCATGCTGCCACGACTTTGAAACGGAAAGCTCAAGCTCAAGAATGCGGCTGCCACTTGTGCTGATACGGCCTCAGTGGGAGTTCCCGTGCATCCTGTCCTTGCCATTCCTTGTTACGATCAAAGCTCTTGATCATAGTTTCACCTCTACATACAAAAAAAGCTGGACGATGGAACGCTGGTCGTGATCGAATGCTTGGTCGTTGATTCGAGGCAGAAGATCAAGCATCTCAAGGCACACTTGAGTTAGTTCCCCGCACAGGCACCTCTTTAGATGTACAGTATTTCGAGAGGATGCTCGGAACGTCTTCGTGAAGATAGAGCAGCTGAACAAGGTTCTAGAGTGCAGGTTTAGATGAATGCTCCAGCTCCGCTCATAAACGCTATCCCAGCTTGTTTGTGAGGACGAGAGTCATGCTAGCGGCTTAATGCCAGTTGAGTTGGGGTATTTCGTTAGGGTTTGGTTTCAGCTGAATGGAAGGAACCTACGAGCTCGATCGCTACCTCTCCAACCTCGCCTTGCAAATGTATCCCTCCACCCGATTCGAGCAGCATCTCCTCCTCTTCTCCTTCGTCCGAGCAGCAGCTGCGAGCTACAAAGCCACCAGCGATCTAACCAGAGGTAACGAACGCCGATCACGATCTCCTCGACGGGCGATATCTTCGCCCGTCCTCCTCCTATGGTCTGGCGAATATATCCCACGTCAGACTTGCCACGTCGGTCTTTGATTTACGTACGAGGAGGAAGCTCGGGCGGGACGCCGCGGTGAGAATCCGGGCGATGAATGTGTCGGATTCCGATCGCGTATGTGTGCCCTACAGGTGTTCCAGGCGATCGCGATGAGTTCCAAGAAGATCGCGAAGCTTGAGAGGAGAAGGCAGGAATCCGCGTCGCCGGCGCTGTCTGGCGTGTACACGATCAATCACACCGTGGCGATAGGAGCGCAGGACCCTCGGAGCTCGAATTTGTGCGATCGCGGCAGCAGGGATTGGCGGCGGCACCAGAGGTTCCTCCTCCCTGGAAAACTCTAGCGGCCGTAATTCCTCGTCGGTTCACATTGCTGATCATGGGATCGTCTCTTTCTAACCGATTGCTCGCATCGATTTTGCAGGCCTTGCTACTCAGAGGCTAGAATCGCCGGGCATTGCGAGAGGAGGAGGAGCCATGGATGAGGGCGATTTCACGCTACAACGAGCTCGCGGCGCAATTGCGAGAGGCGATCCAGGCCGAGGAGTACCACACGGCAGCCGCGATCGTGGCGATGCGGCGATCCTTAATCGAGCCTGGAGAATATTCAACTTTCATTCATTTGGTTTCGTTTTCAAATAGCACTTTTCTTATCTTTGTCTTGGAGTTTTTTCATGAATCTTCATCATATTTTCATTGTTGAGCATGCCACCTTTTTTGTTGATGGGTAATGATTTGAGCTGTTTGGAGAACAGCTTAACTTGATCCACCATTTGCTTAACCTCACCAATATTCCTTCTTGGGCCATTTGCGATTCTATGTACCTGAGACTCAAACAAATTAGAACTCTCCCTCTAGAATCAAACACTTCAGTTAGTAAACATATAAGAAATAAGCCTTTGTTCGTCATAGAGTTTAGAATTGTTTTGCACTTCCTTGTGTTCAGCTCACTCTATTCCAGCTTGATATTTTGCATACTAAGCCCGGGAATCGTGGCCATGACATCACTTAGTATCCCATGCTCGAAATGTTTTCAAGCTGGTCACACAAGAACTTAAAACTGATAGTTCCCTTCGTGAACTTTTCCATCAGCTCTGATTCGTCGCTCATCACAGTATTCTTGATCTTGTCCATCAGCCCCTTCAAATCTGCCATACCAAGTAACTTGTTCGCAAAAGACCTGGACTCAAACACTTCCAAATCGTTCAGCCTCTCTCCAGTCCCCAGGAATATTATGGGACTTTTGGTGGCAGCAACTCTGAAAGGAACAAACAAGTTAGAACATGCGCATTGTCTTACAAAAGGGAATACTTACGCCCTAAGAGTGCCGCCACCTTTACCATGATGATAACAGCGCCAACTTGGGCACTCTCCTTGAACACAAGAGCTTGATCCGTCCATCACAAAAACTATCAAGTCCGGCTTCGTAGCAACAGCAAGTTGACGCATCTCTTCGAATAAAGCAGCGTCTTGCTTGTGCCTTCCACTCATGTTTATGATAATAAGATTGCGCTTGGCATCCACTCCTTGTTGGGCGATCGCTCGCAGAGTAACAGATGAAATAAAGAAAGGGCCTACAAAAAAAAGAAATAAAGGAACGGCTCAGCTGTAGTGACTGGAAAGTGGTTTAAATATGTGGTGAGGATAATAGAATAAAGAAAGGGCCCTACAAAAAAAAAAGAAATAAAGAAAGGGCTCGGATAAGCAGCCACAAATCCAACCGTCCGATATTCCTCAGGAAACTATTTGATTCAGTCCACGAAAAGAACCAAAAAGAGATCCTCTCGAAGTAGTGTTATATTTTGAAGAAGTTAGTCTTGCTTGAGTGAACTACACGATCACGCCAAGTTGAGGGAGAGCAGAACCATCTATCATTTGGGAATGGCGGGATCAAGCAGACAATGAATGCGCCGAGGTACGAAGCGCGAGGTTTCTCTCTGGATCCCGAGATGGAGAAGATTTGGTGCATTTTCTTGCTGGTGTCGACCTGTGCCGGCGTCTCATTCCACGCCACGCTGCACCGCAGCGGTGCGCTATTGACGACTGATGCGCATTGGTACACACAGACTCTGGATCACTACGCGACTCAAGTGGGAAATTTTCTTTGTTTGTTCTTCGAGAGATTGGGTACTCGATCTTTGCAGGACGATAGAACTTTTTCTCAGCGCTACTATGAGTTTACGGACTACTTCGATGCTCCCAACGGGCCAGTGTTTCTCAAGATATGTCCCGAGGGACCGTGTGTAGGGATCCAAAACGATTACAGTGCGGTAAGAAAACTTTTTGCTCGATTGAACTTGATCGCTTTTCTTACCTCCGGTGTCAAGGTGCTAGCGAAAAGGTTTGGAGCCGCGATTGTTTCTCTTGAGCACCGATACTATGGACAAAGCTCGCCATTCAAAACTCACGCGACAGAGAACTTGATTTATCTATCTTCCAAGCAGGCTCTTTACGATCTCGCAGCATTTCGTGAATACTACCAGGTGGCAGATATTTTATATAGTTTCACGACTTGAATAGAGGCTGTGTTGCAGGACCTGATTAATCATAGGACCAACTCTACCAGGGACAATCCTTGGATTGTAATTGGATGGTCATACGCTGGAGCCTTGAGTGCCTGGTTTAAGCTGAAGTTTCCACATTTAGCGGTTGGAAGCGTTGCAAGCTCTGGTATTGTCCAAGCAATTTTCGAGTTCACTAAGCTCGACGAGCAGGAAAGCCTTTACCATCTTTTCCTTGATTTTATCTCTAAGCGTTCGTATACACCTGCAGGTTGCCGAATCCGCCGGTGCTACCTGTAGCGCTGCTTTGCGTGCCGTGACCCGTTTAGCAGAACAAGGCCTGAAGAAAAACTCTGTGTTTACGAAAGCATTGTTCAATGCTGAACAGGTAACTTCTGGTCAGTCTTAGATCTCACGCCGATTAAACTTTGCAGCTCGACGTGGATGGAGATTTCCTGTATTTGCTAGCTGAGGCTGCGACCACTGCGGTATAATTTAGTTCTTTACTCTGCCGCATGATATTTTCTTTTTCTTACGCAGTTTCAGTATGGTAATCCAGAAATCTTGTGTTCGCCACTTGTTGCTGCGTATAAACGTGACGAGGATCTACTGGTATGTGCGTGAAAGTGATGCCGCTGCAGATAATTTTCTTGTCGTTCAGGCTGTGTATGCGAAGTATGTCAAAGATTACTACATAGACACATTTAAATCGAGCATCAATACTTATGATCAAAAGCACTTGAAAGAAAACTTGGCTGCAGGAGATCATTCGAGTAAGTCTAGCGTTGAGCTTGAGTTTTTGCTGATGGTCTGCTTGTAGGTGATAGATTATGGTGGTACCAAATGTGCACCGAATTGGGGTACTTTCAAGTGGCGCCTGCAAACAATAGCATTCGCTCTGCTCTCATCAATGTCAAGTACGTAAGCACAAGCTGTGTCATCTTATCCAATGTCCTGATGGTTGTGCAGGTACCATTTGGATTTATGCTCCAACGTCTTCGGGAACGGCACATTCCCAGAAGTCGATAGCACGAACCTTTACTATGGGGGAAACAGAGGTATTTCCTAGTTGATGCTGTCCATCATTCATAATTTGTTGCAGGAGATAAGATTTTGTTTATGAACGGCTCCCAAGATCCTTGGCGTCATGCCTCCAAGCAAACTTCTTCCCGCAATGGTAAGAGAGCCATCATAAGCTATGTTGTTTCAAATCAGCTTTTGATGCAATTGCAGAGCCCGCATATGTGATAAAGTGTCAAAACTGCGGTCATGGAGTTGATATGCTAGGCTGTCCGCAGTCCCCGCCTCAAATCGGAGGTAAACCCATGGATTCCATTCCTCACAGTTGATGGCATGTGTATATATCCTTGCAGGAAACACCTCGAAGTGTGCCGACCCGGAGGCTGCACAAGCGGGTCAGAGGATCATAGCGACTTACATCTCCCGCTGGCTCGAAGACGCGAATGGCTCTGTAAAGTACATGTAAATCCTTGTGAGTGTTCGAACTCTCTAGATGGATTTCCATTTCATAGTTTTCACATTGTTTCAGGCTAGTTTTCGAGATGCAAAGTTCATGTTCATGGTCATAATCCTTTTATTTCCTCCGACAAAAACTCAAGAAGAAAACCATCTTTTGCTGGTCATCTTACTCACTTTTTCATTCTTGTGTGACTGTTTGCTTTGATCATGAAGTATATTAATCGAGGTTCTTCCCTTTTTTCTCTTCCAGAACTGCATTTGCAAAAAAGAAGAGAACCCTATCGCTCCAGTTTTGTGGTGAGATCACTGCCACAAGTGATTTCCTCGATACTTTCTTGTCAGGGCGCTCCATATAAGCCGAGCTTTGAGTGAAATTCTTGAGAGTTTAGAAACAGCAATAACAGCTTTCTTTCTCCTCGTTTTCTTTGTCTCTTGCAAGAAGGATCGAGAACAACCCTGTTTGTTCCAATTGCAAGTTTAAAATCTGGGAAACTTCTTTCATTGGGAGAGAAGAAAGCTTTCCCTAAACGAGGGACGGAATATCCATATAAATGTCGTCTTGTCTTCTAGATATCTATGAGCAGCAACTCTGAAAAGATAAACAAGAACCACATGCCCATTGGCTATACATACGCACAATTACCATCTTCGTGATGATAACAGCGTCAACTTGGGCACTCGCTTTGAACGTAACAGCAAGCAAGAGCTTGTCGAATGCTTCCATCCATCACAAAAACGATCAAGGTTGGCTTCGTAGCATCAGCAAGTCTTCAAAGAACAGCCTCTTGCTTGTGCCTCCCATTTGTATCTATGATAATAAGATCGCGCTTGGCATCCTCGAAAGCTTCCACTTCTTGGGCGATCACGACAGGTCACTCTCGGTGTAGCTCCCCATAGAACGGGATATTGGTCTTGCAGTTGCTCGCGTTTTGTTTTAGCTAATCTGACACGATATATGTTAGCGTCGATTCAAAGATCTCATTGAGATAATTTTTTCAACGGATTACCACATCGATCCTTCTCAAACGCTGTTTTTCCGGGCTCCAGGATGGATCTAGAAAACAACACATATTCCAATTGTATAAACTCTAAAAATAATATGTAATGGGAAGAGCGAGTGAATGATGCGTCTCTTGTTATGCTCGGCTGCTAAATTCTCCACAGACTTTCTCACGTTCAGAGCCAATGTCTCAACTAACTTCCCCAGCACCATTTTGTCTAGAATCAACATTTAAGAACACTAGAAGGGAACAAAAGAATAGAGTACCTGGTCTGAAAAGAACACCATCCAGTCGAGAGCTTTCTTCCGTGCTAGAGATTTTCGATATACAGCACGACGAGGAACACTGGTGCGAATAGCCGAGACAAATTTCACTCGAAATCTGTGAAAAAAGATAAGAAACTAAACAATCATTAACTTGGAAAATGAATAAACGAGTAAAAGCCAACTTTACATCAAAGCTTTCAAGTTGGACCATCTGGCAACGATATCCAGAAAGTTCTCAGGACCGTATCCAAGAATCCAGTTGCATCACAGCCCCTGCATTGTCGAAGATGGGAAAGATTCAACCCTTGCGAAAAACAACAGAGTAGCGATCGAGATCGTAGGTTGATGGCACGATGGAAGCATGCACACTCATGGCCTGGGAGCGATCCTTGGCATCGGGGCAGGACCTTAAAAGGTCAGTCCCTAACAGCCATTCAGCTGAACCCAAATTCTAACGAATTCAGCTGAAATGGAAGATCACTCTTGGAGATCCTTCTGTCTGTGACGTCTCGCTTTCCTCCACACAAGGCAAACACCGAGTTGTCTCGGCTGTTGTCGAACTCAACCGGCACTAAGCCGCTAGTAGCGCGTTTCCATGAATCTCGTCCACACAAACAAGCTGGGATGGCGTTTACAAGCGGTGCCAGAGCATTCGTCAAAACTGCTCGAGTGCCGCACTCTAGAATGCAACCCTATCTTCACGAAGACGCTCCCGCCGAGCGTCCGCTAGAAAGACAAAGAGATGCCTGTGAGAGGAAGTAACTCAAGTGTGCTTGGTCGGATCGACGACCAAGAATTTGAGCGCGATATCATTCTTGTACACCTGCGAAAAGTGTGTGAAACTATGATCGAGAGCTTTGATCGTATCTTTCCAGTGAAGCCCTAAAAGGTCCTGTTAAAGGGTTTCAATATGTGGTTAATTTTACCATATTTTAAAGTAACATTTAGAGCTCTTTAACAAAGATCATAAGGGCGATAAACCCTAAAAATGGCGCTGGAAGGGAGTAGCGACGAGGAGGAGCTTCGTCGATTGCGCGACACCGATGACAAGGAGCGCCACATTCGCGCCGGCTTGCATCCGCTCCAGGTACTCCTCTTGTGCCGCTCGATCGATCCATCGCGATTGAGCGCCATTGGTTTGATTGTTTGCCTTGCAGCAACGCTTTGTGTTTTGGTACACGAGGAGGACTCCGGGCGTGCGCTCTCATATTTCCTATGAGGACAGTATGAAGAAGATCGCTGAGTTTAGCACTGTGAGTAGTCCTATCCTTTTTTTTTTTTTTGGTTTCTTCTCTTATGGTTTTTCTTGACCAGGTTGAGGGGTTTTGGAGCTGCTACTGCCATCTCTCGAGGCCATCCAATTGTCCAAATCCCACTGACTTTCATCTCTTCAAAGAGGGAATAAGACCACTGTGGGAGGTATAGAATTTCTCGGTCCATCCTTTTTTTTTCTTAGATACAATCCTTTATTTTCTCTCTCGTCAGGATACTGCAAATCGAAACGGTGGAAAATGGATTGTTCGCTTTAAGAAGATCGTATCCGGTCGATTCTGGGAGGACTTGGTATAGTCATTTTCTCTCTCTCTTTTTTGTTTCTCACTTTTTCTCAAGTTTGTGACCGGCTAAAAACGTTTTTTTTTTATTCTCACAGGTGCTTGCAATGATCGGAGATCAACTCGACTACAGTGACAGCGTCTGTGGAGCGGTGCTGAGCATTCGTTTCGGGGAGGACATTTTGAGCGTCTGGAACAGGAACGCGTCTGATAATCAGGTATGGTTTGGAAGTGAACTGTCTGCTTCGCTGTTCTTCTCCACAGTCGTGCTTACTTGTGTTTACAGGCTGTGATGGCTCTTCGCGATTCCATCAAGCGGCACCTCCATCTCCCCACCAGTTACGTGATGGAGTACAAACCACACGACGCTTCCTTGCGAGACAACTCGTCCTTCAGAAACGCATGGCTTCGGGGGTGACTTTGTAACTTCTCTCTAACAACCGAGATATGATACCATCGAGAATCCATTTCGTAATCCAGTTTTTATTTCTTTTGATTGCTTGTTTCACTCTTGGCAGATGAATGCAACTTCCAGGTGATGGCCTGGAAGCAAAAATATGAATGTATTCTCGTGGTTTCTTCGGAACCCGGGGAAAAAAACAGGAGGAAAAGAATGACTTCGAGGTTGTGTAAGCTTTTGCTCTTTTGTTTCTCCTCGTCTCTAGCTGCTAACGTTTTCCTTGATCTTGAGGTATGACTGCATGTTGAGGTGCATTCCAAGGGAGATATTCATCCCGTTGTAATTTGTGGGGGCGTACATCCAATACTCGTCCGAGCTGAGCAGCTGCGAAGAAAGGGAAGCAAAGTTGACAAGTTTAGTCTTTTTTTTGTTTCTCCATATTGAGCACGCATGACCTTTACTTGCAGCTGCAAAAACTTGACATAGTTGATGGCTTCCTCGAGCATCGTCACAATGTCAACCTGGAGCACAAAGTCAATCGCTCAATATCCCATCTCCAAAAGCTTACGTGAAGGAATGGCCAAAGAGACCCACCTTCGCTCCGTTTGGTACGAGTCCTTGTAGCGCTCTCAAACGCTCGTTGATCCTTTCTCTTCTTTGCTGGCAGCGAAAAACCAAGAGTAAAAACGTTAGAAGACAAAGCAAAAGAGACACAGGGAATGAAGAGCATGAACACGACTTGAGACGAGTAAGAAGATTTTTTTTTGTTTCTGGATTGAGAGATTTTACCCGAGCGTAGATGCTTTGCGGGTCCGTGGCAGATCCACGCTTTGCGCGTGGCTTTCCGTCGGTGTTTAGAGCTGGTCCAAGCGCTGAGGTAACTGTGCTGCTCTCCTCGGGCGCTGACAATGTTACTGATGACTTTGTCCGAGATTCCAAGCCCCTCGATTCCTGCAGCGAGAGATTGAGAAGATCAAGAGACGATGATGAAGAACCTCGAGAAAGAATGACAAGATGAATACGAAGAAACTCTGGAAAGAAAGAACCATCTTAGAGTTCTATGCCAAGAGACTCGCACAAGAGAATTCTCCTCGGGAAAGAATGGAAGTGCGAGAGTTTGAGAAACTCGGAAAGAATGACAAGATGAATGCGAATAAACTCTCGAAAGAAAGAACCATCTAAGAGTTGTGTGTCATGGGACGAATTCTCCTCGAGAAAGAAAGGAAATAGACAAGCTTTTCTACTACTCGAGAAAGAATGGACTAAGATCGCAAGAGAACTTACCAGGCACTTTTTCTTCCAGGCCGGGCAATTCTCGTCTTGCACCTCGGCCCGCTCCTTTTTGATCCTCGCGCAGTGATTCTCCAATACAGCCATGGAAGAACTCGAGGAGTTTTGATTGAGAGAGCTGGAAGAAGAAGCTTTGGAGCTCTTGGGTGGTGTTTTCACGCATGGCTTGCTGGGAATTACCTCCTCGGGAGATTGGAGGAGCTGGACTGGAGGAAATCCAAACTGGATGGAGCTAGAACTGTGCTGGTGTTGCGGGAGGAGGAAGTTAAACACGAGTGGCGAGTCGGGAGAGCTGATGAGAGTGTGGTGGTGAGACGAAGAAGTGGAAGGAGAAGGGAAGGAATCGATGATCCTGTCCAAGTTTTGGTGGTGGTGGTGGTGATTGTCAAGAGCCAACGCTGTAGCTGGCTTGGAATGGAAAATCTGGGAAGAGGAAGGAGGAGGCAGCCAGGAGCCATTGTCGTTGTGATCCGGGCTGTTGCAAAGCTCGGGAAGATTGAGAGAGGAGGCTCCAGATCCACACTCGTCGGAAGAGAAGCTCTCCCAGATGGAGCAAAACTGCGATCCTGCGAAGTCCTCGTGCTCCATCTCCATGCCAAATGGATCAAAGCGATCGAAAAGGAAAATCCAATCGTACAGAAAGGATGATCTTTGCTCGATTGCTCTTGTCTGCCAAGGCCACTGCAACCCTGTCCCTGATGCAACCAGCCAGAAGTTTTCCCAGATTTTAAACTTGCAATTGGAAGAAACAGCGATCGTACTCGCAAGAGACAAAGAAAACGAGAGCCCCAAGTTGCTAGAAAGAAAGCTGTTATTGCTGTTCTTGCGAGTTCCAATTCTAAACTCTCGAGGATTTCTCTCCAAGCTCGGGTTATATGGAGCGCCCCCCCTGACAAGAAAGTATCGAGCAAATCACTTGTTTTCTCTCATGATCTCACGCGGCCAACGAAGAGGTGCTGAAAACTCTAACAAAAAGGACGCAGTGATCTCACCACAGACTGGAGCGAAAGGCTTCTCTTTCTTTTTTTGCGAATGCGGTGAATGTCTGGAAGAGAAAAAAAAGGAAGAGCCTCGATTAGTATACTTCATGATCAAAGCAAACAGTCACATAAGAATAATCTTTTACTGAAAGCCGCCCTTCGAATGAAAAGTGACAAGCAAGTGAGTAAGCTGACCACGGCCAAAAAAATGGTTTCTTCTCGAGCTTTTGTCGGAGGAAGAGAGAGAAAAATAAAAAAGAGGATTATGACCACTTGTTGAATTTAAGCGATCATGAGCAGCCATGCGCATCTGGAGGACAACGAAGCCAACAAGGAGGGAGGCCCAGGCGTGTAGGATCAAAGAGAAAACAAAGAGTGTGGCAAGAAAAAGAGAACAAAAGAAAAAAGTTTTAGAGCTGACGCTGGGAAGGAATGGTTGGATCATGGACAAAGAATACCAGTAGAGAAACACACACACACATACCCCCACACGCACCTCACAGATAAGCATTTTATACCATGCGATTAGAAAAAGCATAGACAATAGTTGGCAGCAGTGTAGAATGCAGGAAAAAAACGAAACAAGACAAAAGCTAAACAGGTAGGAAATCCAAAGTACCTTGCGTTACGCCATACCATAGATGTAGCATCGGATTTTTGACCAGCGAGATTTTTGCGTGAATCTGGAAACCACCCGAGATCAGACAAAAGTATACGATGACCTGAAATTTGCATCACCTTCGCTAATCGAAAGCTACCTTGAAGGGTGCCTGCAACGATGTAAAAACTATGAAAGGGAAATCCATCTTGAGAGGCCAAACACTTACCAGGATCTACATGTACTTTACAGAGCCATTCGCGTCTTCGAGCCAGCGGGAGATGTAAGTGGCTATGAGCTGCTGACCCGCTTGTGCAGCCTCCGGGTCGGCGCATTTCGAGGTGTTTCCTGCAAGGATATATACACATGCCATCAAATGCGAGTAAACATAAGCCATGGTTTACCTCCGATTTGAAGCGGGGTCTGCGGACAGCCTCGCATATCAACACAATGAGCGCAGTTCTGACACTTAATCACATATGCAGGCTCTGCAAATGTATCAAAGCTGATTTGAGACGACATAGCTTATGATGGCTCCCTTACCATTACGCGAAGAAGTTTGCTTGGAGGCATGACGCCAAGGATCTTGGGAACCGTTCATGAACAAAATCTTATCTCCTACAACAAACAAAGGATGAATGATGACTGCCAACGGACAACATCAACTGGAAATACCTCTGATCTTGTTTCCCCCGTAGTAAAGGTTCGTGTTATCGACTTCTGGGAATGTGCCGTTCTCGAAGACGTTGGAGCATAAATCCAAATGGTACCTGCACAAGCAGCATGGATAAGATGACACAGCTTATGAGTACGTACTTGACATTGACGAGAGCAGAGCGAATGCTATTGTTTGCAGGCGCCGCTTGAAAGTACGCTACTTCGGTGCACACTTGGTACCACCATAATCTATCACCTACAAGCAGGCTGTCAGCCAAAACAGAAGCTCAACGGTAGACTTACTCGAATGATCTCCTGCAGCCAAGTTTTCTTTCAAGTGCTTTTGATCATAAGTATTGATGCTCGATTTAAATGTGTCTATGTAGTAATCTTTGACATACTTCGCATACACAGCCTGAACAACAAGAAAATTATCTGCAGCGGCATCACTTTCACGCACATACCAGTAGATCCTCGTTACGTTTATACGCAGCAACAAGTGGCGAACACAAGATATCTGGATTACCATACTGAAACTGCGCAAGAAAAGAAAATATCAGGCAACAGAGTAAAGGACTAGACATACCGCAATCGCTGCAGCATCAGCTAGCAAATACAAGAAATCTCCATCTACATCAAGCTGCAAAGTTTACTTGGCGTGAGCTCTATAACTGACCAGAGGTTACCTGTTCAGCATTGAACAAGGCTTTCGTAGAAACAGAATTTTCCTTCAGGCCTTGTTCTGCTAAACGGGTTACGGCACGCAAAGCAGCGCTACAGGTAGCGCCAGCGGATTCGGCAACCTGTAGGTGTATACGAACGCTTAGAAATAAAATCAAGATAAAAACGAGAAAGAGTCTTGCCTGCTCGTCGAACTTAGTGAACTTGAAAATTGCTTGGACAACACCAGAGCTTGCAACGCTTCCAACCGCTAAATGTGGAAACTTCAGCTTAAACCAGGCACTCAATGCTCCAGAGTATGACCCTCCCATTACAATCCAAGGATTGTCGCTGGTAGAGTTGGTCCTATGATTAATCAGGTCCTGCAACACAGCGTCATTCAAGTCGTGAAACTATATAAAATAGCTGCCACCTGGTAGTATTCACGAAATGCTGCGAGATCGAAAAGAGCCTGCTTGGAAGATAGATAAATCAAGTTCTCTGTCGCGTGAGATTTGAATGGCGAGCTTTGTCCATAGTATCGGTGTTCCAGAGAAACAATCGCGGCTCCAAATCTTTTCGCTAGCACCTTGACACCGCAGGTAAGGAAAGCGATCCAATTCAATCGAGCAAAATGCTTTTCTTACCGCACTGTAATCGTTTTGGATCCCTACACACGTTCCCTCGCCACATATCTTGAGAAACACTGGCCCGTTGGGAGCATCGAAGTAGTCCGTAAACTCATAGTAACGTTGAGCAAAAGTCCTATCGTCCTGTAAATATCGAGCAATGTAAAATTCCAATCTCTCGAAGAACAAACAAAAAGAATTCTTACTTGAGTCGCGTAGTGATCCAGAGTCTGCGTGTACCAATGCGCATCAGTGGTCAATACCGCATCGCTGCGATGCAGCGTGGCGTGGAATGAGACGCCGGCACAGGTCGATACCAGCAAAAGAATGCCGCCGAGGCACCAAATCTTCTCCATTTCGGCCTGGCGCTCAAATTCCTGGATCCAGAAAGAAATCTTGCGCTTCCAATCCTGCTCGTACCTCAGCGCATTCATCGTCTGCGCGATCCCGCCATTCCCAAATGATAAACCCTAGATAGAACCATCTCTAAGATATGATCGGACGGTCAGGACCGGCTCAAATAGTATATTCTCTGAGGAATATCGGACGGCCAGGATTGCTTGTGGCTATGGAGAACTTCGCTGTCGGCACAACGGACCGAGATAAGTTACCGCCCAGGTAATAACCAGCCAGTCAAAAGCCCAGTACAGTTAACGTGAAAAAAGGCCTTGCTTCGCTTCTACACTATACACCTTTAGTAGCTTCTTCTCATCTCATTCTTGTGTTCTTGGAGGGCGAGGTTTTGGCTATGGACGCCGCCGCGCGCCCAAAGAATGTGGCTTCTTTCCGGATCGAGGAGCCGGATCCCTGACTGGAGGCGCCCGATCGATGGCGACGCGGCCGCTGTCGTGTGGATTCTGGCAGGAGCTATCGAGCTCGGCGATGGGGAAGCGGCGGATCTGGTATGGCATTTGCGTTTCCAGGCGTGAATCCGGCCTCTAGAGCGCTGGTTTGATCGGTTCTTGGTGGTAGAAGCGCGGTGTCGGGGCATCGCAGCGAGCTAGAATCAAGATATTATGCCTCTTCCTCCTCCAGCGGGGCTTGGGACGTCTTCGCCGCCATCGAGAGCTCAAGATCATCATGATCCAGAGTCCCCTTCCCTAGGTAGAAGACCCGGACCCTGGCCGCCGAGGATGGACGCCGGTGGCAATCAGAATCCCAGGACAATGGGATCATGGGCCCGAAGAACAGGATTCCGGAGCAACATGTCCGGCGAGAGCGCGGCCAGCACCATCAGCGACACGGATGTGAGCAATGCTGATGCTACATTGCATCTCAAGGCCCCCAATTCGGCAGATCTTAGTGGCGGTGCTGCTCCCAGGACGCCGGTGGAGAATGGGAGCTCTGCCAAGGATCCAGGCGCTACACCGACGAAAGTTTACACCCCTCCCGTGAGCTCAAAGAGAGGGACCGGAGGGATTGACTCGGAGAATGTGAGCGGCGTCCAGCAAAGCAGTGGCCAGCTTCGTGGACACTATAGAGACTCGGAGGTTGACATGGGTTCTCAGCAAGACATGGACGATGTCCTCATGGCGAAACAATCTCATATGAAGTATGAGATCAGAGAGACTCCGGGACTAGGTGAGTTTCCTTTCGGATTCATTTCTTTTTTTCTTTGCTGATCATGTACTCCGCTACTAACTTGTACTTGCAGTTCCGTTAATTTTGTATGGATTGCAACACTACTTCTCCATTGTTGGATCGCTTGTACTTACGCCTTTAATCTTTGTGCCAGCCATGGGCGGAAGCAACGTAAGCTCGTGAGATGGTTTTCTTCTTGCTGTATTAATGCGTGTGATCTTTTGTTGTCTAGGAAGATGTCGCCAAAGTTGTCTCTACTATGCTTCTGGTCACTGGGATCACAACTTTGTTGCACTCGTTTTTCGGTTCGAGGTTGCCTCTGGTGCAAGGCGCATCATTCGCATATCTGGCTCCAATTCTGACTATCATTCATTCTCCGGAGTTTTCTAGCGTACGCCAGAATGTAAGTAAAATCAACTTTCTCTTCGAGACTCTGTGACGTTGTCTTTGTTTTACAGAGATTCAAACATATAATGAGGGAATTGCAAGGAGCTGTCATTATTTCTTCGGTGTTCCAAATGGTCGTGGGCTATACTGGCCTTATGTCTATCATCCTCAGGTATATCTAGCGTCTCAGCCAGCCATGTCGTTAAGTTGAGTCTGACCGAATGTTTTGCAGGGTGATCAATCCGGTGGTTGTTGCACCAACTGTTGCTGCGATAGGCTTGGCATTTTTCAGCTATGCTTTTCCCGTGGTTGGAACCTGTGTCGAGATTGGTCTTCCACAGCTACTGATCGTACTTTTCTTTGCTCTGGTGAGTCCAAATCTCGGCTTGCTGGACATTGCTGCTAACGGCCGTGCGCTCTGTGTATGCAGTACCTGCGAAAAATATCTGTCTTCGGTCACCGAATTTTTCAAGTTTATGCGGTACGTCTGGACAATGAAACTTGCAACTGAACTTCATCTTGGCTCCACAGGTGCCCCTGGGACTTGGTATCATCTGGGCGTATGCTTTCTTACTAACCGAGACGGGAGCATACAACTACAAAGGATGCAATATGAAACTACCACCGTCAGCGGCATGTCAACGACATGTTTTCACTATGAAACACTGCAGGACAGATGTTTCCACGGCTTTGAAAGACGCAGCCTGGTTTCGCTTTCCGTATCCACTGCAATGGGGCACACCACGCTTCAGCTTTAAAACGGGGCTTGTGATGATGGCCGCGTCGATAATCGCAACCGTGGATTCGGTCAGTGCTCTTTGGTGGTGCTGATATATTTGTTTTGACATTGTTGGATTCCAGGTAGGAACTTATCATGCGACTTCGTTGCTGGTTGCTTCCCGGGCTCCATCTCCAGGGGTGGTCAGCAGAAGCATTGGTTTGGAGGGGATAACCAGTGCTTTGGCTGGGATATTTGGAACTGGAGCCGGGGCAACGACATTAACCGAAAATGTGCATACGATAGCTGTCACGAAGATGGGAAGCCGGCGAGCTGTCGAATTTGGAGCTTGCGTCTTGATCATCCTCGCTTTAGTTGGTGAGTTCTTCCTGGCATTCCTTCTTTTCAGGCCTGTGAATTTGGCTGTGTTGCTGATATCCTGGATTTTTCTATTCGCCCCTTGTGATATTTGCAGGCAAAGTAGGAGCATTCATTGCCTCAATTCCGACTGTTATTGTGGCCGGGCTCCTGGCTTTCATGTGGACCCTCTTGACAGCTCTCGGCTTGTCTAACTTACGATACAGCGAGACTGGAAGCTCCCGGAACGTACTTATCGTGGGCCTCTCCCTGTTCACTGCCTTGTCAGTGCCCGCCTACTTCCAGCAGTATGGCAACGCAGGGGTAAATGCAGTGACTGAGCCTTACTTTCAACCTTATGCGGTCGCTCAGCACGGCCCCGTCAAGACGAAGAACCACGGGGTAAAGCAAACTCGAGAGATCTTCTCTAAGTTCTTACCCATCCTTTCAGGCGAATTTCGTGCTCAACTCGGTGCTCTCGATGCATATGGTGATTGCGTTCCTGGTGGCGTTCGTGTTGGACAACACCGTTCCGGGCAGCCGACAAGAGAGAGGTGTTTACATTTGGTGCCGTCCTCGGAGTGCTCGCAACGAACCGGCGGTTGTCAAGGATTACGGGCTCCCGGTTGGAAGGAAGCTGTTCTCCAAGGTGAAATGGGTGGGCTTGTGATCCACCCACGCACAACAGGATTGGTTTTGGCGGGAGCGATATCGTCGTGAAGTAAGTACGCAGCTTAGATCGACGCAAATTTTCTTGTTTCGATATGTCCATGGTTTTGTTTCCGTTAATGGCTTTGTCTCCAGATTTTCAGTACGTAATGAGCTGCCTGTCTTTGAGAAAGACGAGCATTTCCGCCAGTCCATCTTCCAGAGATCTTGGTTTGTAGCCCAGGAGTCTCTCGGCTTTGGCACTCGAGTAGGCCCATTGCTGCTTTATCACCGAGACTGCCTGGAAGATCAAAGCTTAGATCAAGAGGTGGAAAGGATGATTTGGAAGACTTACCGGATGCGTCACAACAGGCTCTACGCCAGCGATCCGAGCAAAGACGGTCGAGACGTAGCCATAGACGTAGACTAACCAGAGTGGTATGTGGAACCACGGCCTTCTGGTGCCTGTCAAGCTCGCGGAGATGTTAAACACGTCCTCGAGCGATTTGTTTGGGCCGCCAAGGATGAACCTCTCGCCGGGAGCACCTCTCTCGAGCGCTGCGATGTGCCCGGCAGCAACGTCCTCGACGTGACAAAACGAGAACTTGTCATGCCCGAATCCGATGTAGCCGGGTAGACGCCAGTTGAACCGTTCTATGAGCTGCGAAATGGAGAAAGTCTTGGCATCTTCACGAGTGTGAATCGTTTTGCGAAGAACTTACAATGTCCGCGATGATGTTGCCTCGAGTGATTCGTCCGGATCCATATATCACTCCCGGGTAGAGAAGAACTATAGGCACCTCGGAATTCCGTGCGACTATATCGGCTTCCAGCTTGGATCTCTCATACTCTGTGCAAAAGTTCTTCCCGGAATGGACCTGGAGCGAGAAGAAATGAAAAAATTGTGGTGAGATAAGGGAAGACAAACCTGCTGTTCATCGGCAACTTCACCATATTTCGATGGTCCGAGAGCAAAGAACGAGGACGTGTAGACGAGCTTTGTGATCGATGCGGTAGCCTTGACAGCTTCGATCACATTCTTGAGGCCTCCCACATTGACCTGAAGGAAATTTCGAAATTTCGATCACCAGCGACAATCCCGCGCCCTAAGCCATACCTGGAAGAAGCGCGCGGGATCCGGTGCCCAGCTCTTGACGTATGCCGCGACATGGATTACGGCCTGGCAGCCATCGCAGGCACGGACGAGCGATTCGAGATCCAAGACATCGCCAGCGACGAATTCCACCCCGCCGGAGAGCAGCTCCGGATCGAAATCCGCGGCGACGCTGCCGATCCTCCTCACCAGCGCGCGTATTTCGTAGCGACCGGACCGCAGCAACGCGCGGATGAGAGCTCCGCCAAGGAAGCCGCTCCCTCCGGTCACAAGAACCCTAGCCTTCTTCTCTTCCATCTATTTGCTCGATCTTCCATGGACTCTTTTGTTTCAAATGTGCTGACGTCACTGGGATCTGTTATGACGTGTCAATGACGTGGCGGCACATTGGGATCCCGGCCAGAGCCAAGGGCTCCTTAACAAGCGACTAGGGTTCTTCTTCCGGGGCGCCAATGGGAATGCACGTCAAGAGGTGCGTTGTTTGATTCACCTCGGCGCCCAGCGATTCCAATCCATCACTCTTCTTTCCTTGATCTTGCTCTAGGATGTAGCGCGGCGGCTGGAAATCTGGGAATTTCGCCTCGCCCTCGCCATGACCGGGGTTACGCAAGAATCCCGCGGCGAGGAGGAGCGCCGCCGCGGCGAGATTAGGGATTGGAAGGCGGGTGTGAGGAGCGGCGGATCGCTGCGCGAGATCGTAGATCTCGACACTGGCACGAATGGCTGGGCGGCGCCTCCCGGCAGCGCATTCCAGGTTCGTGGCCACAATTACTTCGCCAAGAGGGTCAAGGCCGCGGCGGGCGAGTGCGTGATGAAGCCACTGGGCGTGGATTGGCTTCGATCGCACGGGAAGCTGGATCACGTCCTCGCCCGCCCGGACAACAGGGTCAGGCGAGCTCTAGATCTAGCGCAGGCACAGAGGGAGGGTCTCAAGTCCTTCGTCTTCGCCGTCAACTTGCAAGTTCCAGGGAAGGAGAACTACAGCGCCGTGTTCTACTACGCCACCGACGATCCAATCGCGCCGGGGTCGCTTCTCTACAGATTCATCCACGAAGATGATGGGTTCCGGAACAGTAGATTCAAGCTCATCAACAGGATCGTTCGTGGTCCGTGGATCGTCAAGGCCACTGTGGGGAATCACGCGGCTTGCTTGCTCGGGAAAGCGCTCACTTGTCACTACATCCGGGGCCCGAACTATCTGGAGATCGACGTTGATATTGGATCGTCCACAGTCGCGACTTACATCCTCCACTTGGCTCTAGGCTACGTTAGCTCCGTGGTTGTAGATATGGGATTCTTGGTAGAGTCGCAGGCCGAGGAGGAGCTCCCGGAGAGATTGCTAGGGACTGTGCGAATCGCCCAGATCGAGATGGAGTCGGCTGTTTTTGTGGATCACGAGCAGGATCATCACCAGCAGCAGGGTCTAAGTTGCTCCAACTCGAATCATCCCGGGACGAATGCGAGCGCTGCGAATTCATGGCAGCGACGGCTTGGGTTTTCGTTCCGGGGTCACCACTCCACGAAGAACGGCAAGGTGGCGGAGCGCGATCACTGTAAAGCGTGAGAGAAAGTGGGAGAGATTTTTTTTCTTCCTCCATTCGATCGATGGATATGGATTAGACGAGCTCGAGCAGCGAAGAACTATATAAAAAGATAGAACCAGTCTATCTCTATCACGACGATGATGAAAACAATTTGGCTAAAGTAGAAAGATTAGCCGGATATGCCATGGGAATCTTTTCCTCGAAGAGAAGAGAGAGAAATAAAATCAAATTTTTGTAACGCGAGATGGCGCGCATTTCTTCCCGCCACTTTTGTTGTCCTCTCGATTTCACATCCAAATAAAGCTCCGGCCAGCCGGTCGCGTCCACCGGCTACTCTTAAACCTCCGGGTAAAGCCCATTTTGAAAGCACACCGATGGTGACCGGCTACAGCCGGTGGCGCTTACATAAATCTGAAGGGCTAGGAAACACTTCAAGGTGTCCATGCGCTGGGGGATCAACGGCCGGTTTTTATAGCGAGAGTGAAGGCAAAAAATCTCCCTGCCAGGCCCACGGATCGGACCGTTGCTTGGGGCCATCCAGCGGCCCAGGCGTTGCCAGCATTGCGCTGCCCGTCGCCGGCGACGGGCAGGCTCGTCACTCGTGCCCGTCATACACGGGCCTCCTTCGCTGCCAAACCCTCATCTCTCTTCTTTGTTCTTAGCGTCTCCCTCGCTCTCTCCTCTTGCAGCGTGGCTATGGCGGCGTTTGAGCAGCTTGGATTTGTGCTGTGATCGTCTTCGTCTTTGTGTCTTCCACGCAGCAGCTCATCGTTTTTTCGCTCGGTTTCGCTTTGAGGTGGGTTTCTTCCTCCCGTTTTTGCTGGAGCTTTTTTCTCCTCCAAGATCGAGAGAAATGTCCTCAAATCGTCGCGGTTTTGATGGAGCTGGATCGTTTTTTTCTCGGTTGCTTGTAGATCGCGGCTGTCGAGCTTTCAAGATGAAAGAGGCCAGTACCAGGGGACGAGGGCGGCCTTTGGGCTCGACAAAGAAGAAGGACGGCAAGGACGCGAAGCCTGAGAAAGAGTAGGCGATTTTTTTCCTTGTTCTTCTTCTCCAGGGGTGTGATCACTGATGCTCTCTTTTTTTCTTTCCTTGCCAGGAAGAAGCTCGCGGTGAAGGACGGGAAGGCCACCAAGAAGCAAAAGAAGAAGGAAAAGAAGGCGAGCAAGGACCCCAATCTCCCAAAGCGTCCCCCCACGGCATTCTTCGTCTTCCTGTAAGTTTTTTCGCTCTTCCACGCTTTGGATTCGATTCAAGTTCTCTTTTTTCACAGGGAAAGCTTTCGGCAACAGTACAAGGAAGATCATCCGGATGTCAAAGGCGTCGCAGCGGTAGGCCTCTTTTCTCTTCCTTGAGTGTTTCGAAAAACTTCTCTTGACGTTCACTCTTCCCTCGCAGGTTGGAAAGGCCGCTGGTGATAAGTGGAGTAAGATGAGCGAAAGTGTGAGTATTCTCTGTTCTCCATTTTTTTTTTTCTTCGCAGTGATCTGATCTCCACTGTTTGATCTTCCAGGAGAAGGCCGTGTACGTCAACAAGGCCGCCCAGCTCCGGGCCGATTACGCCGAGTCCATGGCCGCTTACAAGAAGAAACAAGTAAGATTTTTGACGAATCTTTGCAGTTTTCTCGACTTCGGTCGTCTCGTCCTTGTCAGGATGACGAGGAGCAAGAAGATTCGAAGGAAAACGAGGAAGAAGGCAGTGCTGAGGTAGAACTTCTATGATTTTGCGCGTGATCTTGTGCGATTTTGTGATCTAACACATCGTTTTTTTCCAGAATGAAGAGGAGGACGAGGATGATGACTAGAAGAAGAGAATGGGTTTGATATGTGTACATCAGATTTTAGCTGTAGGAGCTCTTTAGGGGAAAAGAGGGAGAGCGTAGGAATCACAAATTGTCAATGGTTCTTTCTTTCTTCCTTCACTAACTTCCATCAAAGACAAATTCTTGGCTCAATGGTTTTCGTGTTTTAGGGTTTAGGGGTTGGAAATATTTTGCCCGGCTATGGCGCTCTTGTTCCATGGCCGCGGCGAGGCGCTGAGCGAGGAGGAGAGGAACGATCTGGCCGCGATCGATGCGCTTCGCGAGACCGCCGTATTGGAGCTCAGGGTAGGATGCATTGTCTTCTTTGTTCGAGTTTGCGAGGATTTGAGATTTTAGTTCGATCTTCCATAGGAGCAGGGAAATGCGTGTGTGAAGAAAGGGAAATCCGGGTACAAGGATGCTGTGGACTGCTACACACGCGCGATCGAGCAGAGGATTGATGATCCATTGCAAAACTCGGTGCTCTTTGCGAACAGGGCGCATGTGAATTTGCTGCTGGGGAATTATAGGCGCGCATTGAACGATGCCGAGCAAGCGATTGAGCTCAATCCTACGAATGTGAAGGTACTCTGGTACAGTGATTGATGATGGTTGGTGGTTTCACTTATCTCTTGCTTGGCAGGCCTACTTTCGTGGCTCCAAGGCCGCGCTGGAGCTTGATTTGCTCGAACGAGCTTCCCAGCTTTGTACAAAAGCTTTGGACGTGGAACCTCACAACCTGGAGCTTAGAAACTTGAAGGATCAGGCAGAAACTAGATTGAAAAGGTCGAACGAACGTAAGATTCATGTCAAGGAGGCAGAGGTGAGAAAGCTCTCATTGTGTTTTGATTTCTCACTTGTTTGGTTGTCCAGGAATTTGTCACTTGTTTAGAGCAAAGGCACGTCAAGCTGGGGAGTCACTTGTACAAAGAGCTCTGTGGTGCCAAGAAGCCTTGGCTAGACACTAGCAATGTTCTACACTGGCCTGTTTTGCTGCTATATGGGGAAGTCATGTCGAGCGACTTGATTGAGGACTTTATGGAGTTCGACAAGTTCAAACCTCACTTGCAAAGAGTATTCTTTTAACTATCACATCCTCGCTCTTACAGCTTTTTCTCGTGAAATTAGATGTTTGGAGATGCTTCTCTTCCTTGGGATGAGAAGCACGAGTACACAAGGGATCGTATTGAACTATATTACCAGGTCTGCTTTGTTTGTTTTCTTAAAGCTGTTGTTACATTTGGACAATCAGGCAAACGCTGTTGCACCGTTATCAAGAAAAGCAGCTTTGAGATCAATGCTAGATCACACAGATGATTTTGACCAGGATGAAACAAAAGAAACAGGTAAAGCTGGGTTGCTGACAAAACTAAATGTGCAAGTCTTTCTAGATCTGCGTAAATATTGGGTGAAAGTTGACGAGAACTGCACGCTGCAAACAGTACTTGCAAAACCAGATTGCACGGTACCCGGAATTCCAGGTGATATCTATCAAAGAAATTCCTATAACAAGGGATCTGACGGTATTCTTTCACAGTTTTTTATGTTGTAGCACTAGGATCTCGTTTCAGAGAATTGTTTCTATCTGGGGCATGGTCTCCACCCTGATAATACTTTCTCTTGTTCGCTTTGAGTTGAGGTTTGAGGTTTGGGGCTCAAATGGCGACACAGGATTCCCCTTCTATCTCGTACGGTGAGAAGGTAAGATCGATTCTAGTTCAGGTCCAGTTTCAGAGACCGTGTTTTCCTCTCTTCTCTTTCAAGCATTGTCTGAAACAGGTTCTTGAGGAAAAGGAGCTGGAGCTAAGAAAGTAAGAGGGCTTATTATTCTCTTTTCTGAAAGTCTCTACAGGTATATACAAGACAATTACTTAAAGATCCACAATTTTGAGAAAGAGCTGGCTGAGCTTTCGTTGCAAATAAAACTTACTGTTGGCCCGAGAAAAGCGGGTGAGTTCTTGTCTTTTAGTCTTTGAGTAATCTTCTTATGCAGCCCTTGAACACCTACGGAATAAAATCGAAATGTCGGGAGCGAAAATTCGAAAGGCTAAATTGAAAGAAGAGAATGCGAAGAAGGTGAAGTCACGATATTTATTACATAGGACTTGCTTCTCAAAGGTGTACAGCAATGGGAAGCGGCACAAACTGCATTGCAGGCTGAAGAAGAGGAAAAGCAAAAGCTTTGTGACGATCTCAACCGTTTGGTTGGTTACATCTTGTCAAGGTTTTTGTTAATGGTGTGTTTGAGCAGGTCGAGCAAACTTCTGTCGCAGGATTTTCGCGGTTGGAAGAACTAAAGCAGAAGCTTCAGGCGCTAAATCCTGAATTGGTAGCAGCTGAAGAGGTGCTTTTTAGCTTTATGGTCCCGTGCTTCTAACATGGACTCATTCACAGGCGTATGACAACGAAGCTCACGGCAAGCATCCAAAAAATGTCGGACCCGCGCCTGGAAGTGTGCAACTGAAGGACGATTTTTATGGTTTCGACGTCGTGAGCATCGATTGACGAAACTCGGTTTACTATTTCTATACAGCTTAATGCCGAATCTACTTCGTACACTGAATGACGATCGTGGCATCGATGAAAAGTCGTATATGGGATGGGACCGTGTACGTGGCCTATCTGATGCTGAGCCACAACATTTGCTTCAGAGCCCCACAGGTAAATATGATACCATTTAAAAGAATCCATTGTGATGTTTATGATGGTTCTTCACAAGGAAATCGTGAGCCTAGTCTTCTAGTCTACAGTTGCGGTCGCATGCTTCTTAAACAAGTGCGGAGTGCTGAAAGCTTCCCTTACAGAAGTTCTTGTAAATGGCTCTGGTTGTGCAGTCGCAGCCTCCAATTTCCGTGCAGGCTTTGGTACAGAATGGGCTCGAAGAAGTGCCTTCACGCTTTCTTCAGCGCTCGCTTGATTCCCGTGTGTCAGCTCCTTTTGAAGAGAGCTTGCCGATCATCGATCACGGGAAGTTACTACGGAATGATCCTTCAGAATTGGCGAAGCTAGGAGCAGCTTGTGCAGAGTGGGGATTTTTCCAGGTACTCCTTAGTACTTTTTTATCGCCTTTGTCTTGACATGAAACTTTCAGGTTGTAAATCATGATATCCCAATTTCCTTGCTCGAAAGAGTCCGAAAAGCTGCTCGACAGTTTTTCCATTTGTCTCACGAGGAGAAGCTGGAGTTTGCGATAAAGCCAGGGAGCTGTGAAGGCTACGGGAGGCATTTCCTTGCGTCGGATGTGCTCGACTGGGTTGATCTTCTCTATCACCAATTGCTCCCCATCTCCACTCGGAACTTGTCTTCCTGGCCGACCAAGCCCGAGTCTTACAGGTACTCTCTGTTCTAATTTTATTATCGGCCCCTTTACATGTGGTGCTTAGGACCGTGCTACACGAGTACTCCAACGAGGTGCATGGACTTGCAAAATGCCTCCTTGGAAAGATTTCAGAGACGCTTGGCCTTGAGTCCGACTTCCTGGAGAAAAAGTTTGGAGAGTGCATCTACCAGACTATTCGGGTAAACCATTACCCTCCGTGTCCACAGCCTGACCGCGTCATGGGACTGAGTCCTCATTCTGATCCCGGAGGTATCACTATACTGCTCCAAGACGACGTCGAAGGCCTTCAGGTCAGGAAAAATGGCAAATGGGTCCAAGTCCAGGCTGATCCGGAGGCTTTTGTGGTGAACCTTGCAGATCAGATTGAGGTACTAGAATTTTCCTCGATTTCTTACCTCTTTTTCTTCGCAGATAATAACCAATGGCCTCTACAAGAGCGTCGAGCACCGAGCCGTGGTGAAGACCGAGAGCAAAGAACGCATATCGTTGGCAATGTTTCACAGCCCGCTGCCCGATACACTCGTATCTCCTGCGGCCAACTTTGTGAATCCTAGGCAGCCATCGAGGTACACCTCCATGACATTCGGGCAGTACAGGTCGAGCTTCCTCAACAAGGAACTCAGGGGCAAGAACCACGTCAAGAGCATGCTCGTGGAGAAAGAACAGGACTGACCAGGTAGAAAAACTCCCGCCACTGGTCATTCACAACTGACTGTGCTGTGTGCTCTTGTGGATAGGCCTTGAGCGATAGAACACGAGCTTTGTTCTTGAGCAGCTGGCTATGTTAATTCAGTGAGATTTTCACTTCGGAGCTTGGGAAGCTGAGCAGGCAGTGCATGGAAAGTAGCCTCGACCCATACATTCTCTACACTTTTCTCCCGTGGCGCCTTGATCGAAGATTGCGAGCTGGGGTCTTAGCTCCCCCCGGCCTTTGCATTTCCCGCAAGCCTTCTTCTTCAATCCACCGCAGTCTTCACAGAGCCCGAGAGATCTGAGCTTGCATTTTACAAACAAGACTTTGAGAAGAGAAAGGATTGATACCTTCGCTGTGAGCGGGCAATGTAATTGTCCACTCTCGGGGCCGCAAGAGCAGCGGCGAGGAGAAGGCCGCCCACAGCAAATCCCGCTGCTTCGCTAGGAGTTATCGCTTGCATCGTCAAGAACCAAGTCACGAAGATAAGGAATGGCGAGACTTTGATGAAAACTAAACTATTTATTAGAAGTGTTTCTACAGCTTAAGCTCCGATTTTACAGATAGTAAGCTTAAAGCGTAAAAGGCTTCTGTCATTTTGATGTGCTTATCATTGATGTTATACCCTCTACTTGCCTGAAACAGAAAATCAAATGTATTAATACAAGAAAATTGAAACTTAAAGTTTTGTTTTACCTCGAGATTTTTTCCAACTTTTTTTAATAACCAAATACATTTATCAGTTACAAGAGTTGAATAAGTCATTTTGTTGTAAAGCATATATCTATAAATTTGATTAAGAGCACCTGCTGTTTCCGTTCTTACTTCAAATAAATAAGAGAGACTTGTATTTTCATCTGTAAAAATATATTAGCACTTATAAATTTCAAGAGAAAACAAATGCTTACCATGGGCAATATTTTTAAATATTTTACCCTCGGCTATTGAATATCCAGGAATAAAATGTGTGAAATTAGATCTAGCCATTATCCTTTGGGTGAATAAACCAAAATCAGGTTTTAAATAAAAAGTATATCCCATACTTTGCTCAGATATAATCGTCCATCCCAAGTTAAGATTAATATTTGATGTCCTTAGAAAATATTCTTGAGCACCAATTGAGCTTAATCCAAAATAAGGATGAAGAAAACATCTTATGCTTTCTTCATCCACAAGTGGTAGTATATAAGTTTGAATATTTGGAACCTATAGTAAATAATTAGTCAATTGAGAAAAATAAAAAAATAATTACCTCAAAATCACTAAGAACTCGTTTGCTTTGTTTAAGAAGATCATCAACTAGATTATCACAACCATCCCAATCATTTACAAATTGAAGCTCTTCATAAGGATTAATGTGATTAGCTTCAAGCGTTTCAATCTGAGTGAGAGTTAAATTTGGATTCCTAAGATGAAAACCCAATAACTAGAAAAGCATTGTTAAAAAAAAAATACTTACCTTGTGGAGCTGTTTGGGGTTTTGAAGCATTGCTTAGGAATAGAAATATTAATTAATGCCTCGTGAAATGGAGTTAATGCTTGTTGGGTCACTTGAGTATTATCACTTGTGGATCCAATGCTTAAACTTTGCCTTTTCCTGCTCCTTGTTTCCATGATGCAATGAGAGATCTCAACTGCACAAATATTCAGTCAGCTTCTAGCAAGAAAATAAGCATGGGAGAAACCTCTCAGAGATTTTAGGCACAAAGCGATCTAAGCAGGAACAAAATAACCAAACACGCAAGGAAGATACAGAGCAAGATGCTAGAAAGGTTGAAATCGACCAACCAATCACACACCGCGAGAGAGAGAGAGAGAGAGTTAGTTTTCACACACCGCGCGCGCGCGCAAGAGAGAGCAGTGCTTAGCGCCAATTTCCAGCAGAGTATAACCAAGTCTACGGCCTGTTTAATCTAGAAAAGAAAAGAAGAAAGTCAATGCGTTTGAAAAAACAACAAATGTCTTCGCCATATTCAGAGTACCTGGTATCGTTGATCAATACTGTATGTTGCTCTCGCCTGCCGCCCGCCGTGATAAAGCAAAAGATCCAGACAGCCTGCTTGATCACAAATAAAAGTGGGAAACCGATTTCCAGCTGTTCCGTGAACCTATAAATCCAGAACAAAGTCAGTTACACAATGTCTTCGACATTGGCAAACGACCTGCTGAGCGAGCGCCCAGAAGCGACTGGCAGTCGGAAGAAAGAAGATGCGAGAGACGCTCAGACCAGAAGCTTGCTCAAAACAGAGAGCTGATCTAAGGTGACGATTGGTGTGTGCTACTAAGCTCGTCTAACAGGAAGACTCTGCCCTCCACGACAATGCTATGACTAGAAAACAAAGAGAAGCTGAAAAGTCACAAACGCATAAAGCAAGTTGCTAAGCAGGAAAGTCGTCTACTGTGCTGGTGACCACATGGACTTATATACTAGCCGGTCAAAAACGTTTTTGACCATTCTTAATATCATTTTTCTGCCTGGGAATCTTTCTACCCTAAGGTGGTACTAAGCTAGGGAGTACTTGGTGAAGAGAGTGACTGAGTGAGGTGACAAACTCCACATGTCTTTCTAGCTGGGAATCTTTCTACCTTGCTGGAGCTAAGGTAGTACTAAGGTAGGGAGTACCTGGTGGAGAGAGTGACTAAGTGAGGTGACCATTCGCTCTACACTTAACATTTTTTGACCATGTAATGTCATTTTTCTAACTGGCAATCTTTCTACCTTGCTGGACCTAAGGTAGTACTAAGCTAGGGAGTACCTGGTGGAGAGAGTGACTAAGTGAGGTGACCATTCGCTCTACACTTAACATTTTTTGACCATGTAATGTCATTTTTCTAACTGGCAATCTTTCTACCTTGCTGGACCTAAGGTAGTACTAAGCTAGGGAGTACCTGGTGGAGAGAGTGACTAAGTGAGGTGACCATTCGCTCTACACTTAACATTTTTTGACCATGTAATGTCATTTTTCTAACTGGCAATCTTTCTACCTTGCTGGACCTAAGGTAGTACTATGCTAGGGAGTACTTGGTGGAGAGAGTGACCGAGTGAGGTGACCGTTGTCCAAAAAACCCCGTTACAAATTCCTGTTACACCTTAAAAGGGTTTGATTAGAATAAAAGGCAAGCTTTTCTACGTGTCATGTTGTCATTTGGGAACAAATATTTTATTTAAGAATATCCATACTATACGAGCAGAAATGCGTGTTTCAGGGTGCCGTAGAAAGTTCAGGGCGATGCCTGTGTGATTTTTTCTATGGCCCGTCATTATAAAAGATACTCATAAGATACTACGGTCAGAATCGTGTGAATAAACGAGAATATTTGTACGTTGTATTGAGCCGCTAAACAATGTCTGAGCTGGTCTAAATAATATTTATCTTTTCGAATATTCATTCATATATTCTTTATTTTGGTTTTATTAAAAGCTCATGTTTAGTATATTCTCTCTGCCCTAAGAAAATTGAGCGCCATGGAAGACGTTGCGCTGCCTACCATGCTGGAACTCCCATCGCCAAAGGTAAGAGGAAGCTTTCTAAGCTACCCATCTCTAAGCGCGGAGCCCCTAAAGCTGGGACCTGCGCAACCTGCCCAAGAGCCATTCGCTTTTCTTCCCCAGCACTGGCAAGACATGGTCTTTGTGCAGCCCACAGCGATCAATCCCGTCCAGGCCGACTTGGAAGAATCATGGAGTGTTTCCATGGACGTCTTCGTGGAGTGGTCGGACAACCTCCCGCTGGCGTGGAAGGAGTATGTCCAGGCCCCGCTGCCCGAGCTCCCCGAGCAAGTGATCCGCACCTACGCCAACGTTTCTCCGCCACCGCTCGCCGAGCTCTGCCCGCTCGACTTTCAGATGCACTGCTGGTGGTCATTTCACGGAGAGATGGAAGAATGGACCCGGCGGCAGCCGGATGATCGAGTCGCTCCGGATCCATCGCCTGCCGGGAACTTCCGCACCGTGCTGCTCGGACTGCTCCTTATGTCGGGCCAGATCCGGGGGACTTGCTGCGTCGCGTTCTGCTGCTACCCGGATGCCACCGACACGGTGAAGTCGGCGATCTGTCCAGAAAAACGCGAGGTTTCGCTCGTCGGTGTGATGGCTATGGATCTTGACGAGAAAAACAGCAGCCTGGAGATCCAAGTTGCGAGGCTCTACTCTTATATGCTGCTCACGGGCTGTTACTTTGGGATCGTCTCGTCTTACGCCAAGACGTTCGTGTGTAAGAGGCTGCCTGGCGTGAAAGGACGCGTGTGGATCTCGCCCCCGGTTCTCTACAACAGTGGCAACGCTCTCAAGGCCTGCGCTTTCGCTGCATGGCTGGGACAGAGCTTCGACGGTGAGATCGCTGCTGATGCTAGAGATCTCGGAGCTCCACCGTTTGTAAGCATCGGCCCTCGGCCGTTTGATCGCCTGCCAATCCTTGCGAGGCTCCGGAAGCTGTCCAAGGAGCGAAAGGTGGCAAACGTGGATGAGCTCGTCGCCAAGCTTGCATGGTGGGACGATCTGGCGGAGCTAGGCCAGGCCAGCCTCTTCTCGCACAACAGGGACAGGGGCCGGATCTTACTTAAGGCAGAGTTCCGTGGCAAGCCCGTGCTTGTCCGGCTGAGGGACTTGACGAGCAGCCTTCGCATGGACACCGATTCTTATCTGAGAAAGTTTGTCCGGGAGGTGGACGTGTACATGCGGCTGCGCGACTTGCAGGGAGACGCGATCCCCGTCATGCTCGGCTATGGCTTCGTCCGTGGCGCCACCCTTTGCTTCGTGACTTTCACGGACGTGTCGACGAGTGGGGATTTAAGCTCGCGGCGCATGGACATGAAGCGCGACGTGATCCAGTCGCATCTCCGCAGGATCCATGCTCGAGGTGTCCACTTTGGGGGGGAGCCGAGGTGGATACCCAGCGAGAGTGGATACACTTTGATAAGCATGTCCCATGGTATACCTGGTGTGGCTGATGGCCGAGATTTTGAACTCCTCGATTTAGTGTGTTCTTCGAAACATCTTTAAACTTGCATCAAGTGGTGATGCCAAGAGCTGTCGAAGCAACCTATCGAATAATTTTAAGGAACGAAATATGTTACAATCTCATGACGAGGCTTTCGCTCCTCTTTTTTGAAATACAACAAAGACCACTTTGAGCACCATGTTCTGAGAAACTAATAAAACGCAAATTTTGAACCTATAAGCTGAGAAGATTAAAGAAACACTTCTACAATTGATTTGTGGACAAAGAAAAGTGGTGGTGAAAATAAGTTGTTTCATGAACGACAAGATCTAGGGGTATGCAAGCTTGGCCATGACGAGGCTGCTTTAGAGATGCAAACAGTGGACCTTCTCTAAATAGTGTCACATTTGTTTATTACTCTGTTCTATGCAAAACCCGGATGAGTGACCAAGGGATCTAATTTTAGAAAATATTTTGATGTCTTGGATGAGCCTGGACAGTGCACCACTTAGCGCAGGTCAATGTTAATCAATAAAAAGTCCACAGAAGTCCAGTAAAAATTTCATGAAAGTCTAGATTGTGTTTGACTGCTGTTGACTTTGAGCTGAAATTGAGCTTAATTTTGAGCTAAGAAATGGTTTTTCTCAGTCGCATCTCAGCAGGACCCATGCTCAAGGTGTCCACCTTTAGTGGTTACGTGGATAGAAGCATGTCCCAGGTGGATGGCCAAGACTTTGAGCTTGTCCATCCGGTATTTTGTCATTTAGTTTGTTCCTCGAATGTGAGGATGAGAGTTTTGGAGTTCTAAAATAACATATATTCATGGAAACTTAATGCACAAAAAAGCTTCGGTTATATGATTTCTCCAAAGAAGCTGACGAGAATGCTATTCACCTCTCCAGCGCTCTCTTGCTGCATGAAGTGGCCAGACGACAACACAATCGTCTCCTTGAGATTGGGAACGTCGGCCTTCAATCTACCTTTGTCGACGTAATCCCGGATCCCAGGCGTGCAGTAAACCAGGTCACGGTCCCCGGTCACGAACAAGGCTGGCACGCTGATCTTCACCATTGTCCAAGGAGCTTTGAGCTCCCATGATCTAGGAGAAAATGGAGAACATTGTCACAAGATGGAGAGGATACAAATCGATCCACAACTTACAAGTTTGCTGCTCGATAGTAATTGAGGCCAGTGGTAAATCCCGTGCGAGAAAACTCTTGGGCATAATAGTCAAGTTCTTCCTCGCTAATCCATGGAGGCAGCTCAGTGGGTTCCTCGAGTATGTCCATGACTTCCTTGTCTTTAGGAGCAACCAAGACCTCCCCTTTGCTATTCAAGAGCATTTTCTTCACCACTGTCTTGGCGTCAAAGCGAGCAAAATCAGCCTCTGGCCTTCCTGGTTCCTGAGAATACAATCTCATAAACAATGTATCACACAACACACTTGACTGATAAAAAGGTGGTTTTGCTCTACCTGGAAGCGTGAAAAATAGTATCCTTCTCCCAGTACGCGCTTGAGAGATTGGCTGAAACTGTGTTTGGGATTCCTGGGCGAGTATGGAACGCTCAGAGCAACCAGTGCCTTGACTCGATCCGGTCGAAACAGGCACACGTCCCAGGCAATGATCGCCCCCCAGTCATGTCCAGCGACAAAGACCTTCACAACACATGAAATCAAGTCTTAGATCACACACCCAAATCAAGTCAAGCATCTTTGGAAAAGAACAAGCAAACTTCCAAGGTCGAGGAGTGAAAGAATGAGGAAAATGGCCGACCTTTTCCTCGCCCAAGGCGTCGAGCAGTCCCACAAGATCACCCACAATATGGAGGCTCGTATACTTCTCCATGCCGTGGGGTGCGTCAGTCTGGCCAAAGCCTCGAAGGTCAGGAGCCACAACACGGTAACCAGCAGCGGCCAGAGCCGGCATTTGGTGCCGCCACGAATACCACAGCTCCGGGAAGCCGTGCAGCAGCAGCACAACAGGATTTCCTGCGAGTTTTCCTCAAATCAGTGCCAAACCAAAGGAAAAAACCCACGAAGAACCTGGCGATCCCGCCTCGGCGATGTGCATCTTGATTCCATTCGTCTCCACGAAGCGGTGGGAGATCTCACCATCAGTAGCCATGGCTGGGCCTTCCTCAATGAAGACGACACTGCACAAAAAAAGTATGAAGATATTTTTTGAAGAGAATCTACACCACCACCAAACCAACAGAGAAGATAAAGTGATCGCGTCCAAAAGAGAAATCCATTGATTATTTCAATCCAGAATAAAATAGAATGAGAAACATACACCAACAAAAGCATGGTCCGAGCTCTTGTTCATTCTATTCACGAGAGATGAGAATGCGTTACTCGTCTCTGCTGCTCAGCCTGTTCGTGTGAATTGCCTCTCCTAGCAGCAGCCTGTTCGTGTGAATTGCCTCTCCTCCAAGGAATGAAACAATACCTTGAACGATATAGAGATAGCTTGGGTACCAACTTATCCTTGAAAACCAAGTTGCTTTCAACGTCGAGTAGATCCATACAGCTCCTTAAAACCTGACAAACCTGGAGAAATCAGCCTTGAAAGTCTTGGGTCCCCCGCTTGTGCTAGTAACATTTGTGGCGGTGGCTTCCATCTTCCCTTCTCGCTCCTCCCTGGAGGATGGATTCACGTATAGTACATTCATTCTTCCTTAAACATGAGCTTCATCACCGGGACCAACTTTGGGAGCAGCGGCAAATCCACCAAGTTGACGCTCATCATGTCGAACGCAATGCAAGTTCTGTCGTTGTAGCTCGCGTCGAAAACTGGGATCTGAGGATAGCGCTGGCTGAAGTGCGTGAGAATCGTCCTGTAAGCTCCAGCAGCTGCCCCGGCCTGGACTGCTTCACAAGTCAGGCTGTGGTTTTTCTCGAGAGCTTCCGCGAGCAAGCCGTCATCGAACGTAGCCTGGAACAAATTCTTGAGAAAAGAAAGAGCTTTGGTAACGAGCTTACCTCGTGGACAAAGATCGTAGCGCCCTTTGCAGCTTCCACAAATGCGTCACAGGGCCTTGTATCACCCGAGAAAGCGAACTTCCAGCCACTTTGAGCCGACTCTAGAACGATTCCGAAGGAGTGAGCGCAGTGTATCACGGGAACGCTTAGCAGTGACGTTAAGCCGAGCTCCTGCAGCACTTGATCCAGTTTCTTCCGGCCAGTTTCGTCAAGTCCTGTTGCTAAATCATACCCCGTCTCGCCAGTGTCAATGTGCTTTCTCTTCCCTCCGCATAGCAGACTTAAGGTGTCGCGGAACTTTGAGTTGTATGAGCCGGCGGCGATGGTTGTTTGACTGCAATCTAGAAAATCCATTGCCAGAGTTTCTAGTCTCTCGTAAGCCGTCAAGTAGCGCCTGAGGAACATTGGTCCTATCACCAGGATTGGCTGAACTCTTCCCTGAGCTTGTAAAAGGGCCTTGCGAGCCGTGAGTATGCGTGTAAGTCCGCTCTGATGATCAGCATGGATGTGAGAAATCCAAATGCACTTCAGATTGGCTAGGACCGAATCGGCGCCTTGGATCCCATATCTATGAACATTAAGTTTTAGGGAAAGAAAAGTACGTAGTAGAACAATAAAACTATAGAAAAGTACCTTCTCTTCAGCTGTCCATACGTGCCTTCTCCACAATCCAAGAGCATTCCTCCACGCTCAAAAAGATGAAGGTATATGGCACTGACGTTTCGATGCTTGGACGGGTGCATAGATCCCGTCCCCAAGAAAACTATCTCCAAGTCATCTGCCTTGGAGCTTATACATGCTGGAGCCGTCGTCGTCAAAGCGTTCTCATCGTATAATAGCTTCACGTCCTGTTTGATAGATAGCAGCTCTGGAATTTCATTGAGAAACTCTGTTTGGATGGCTTCGAGATTGAAATCTTCTACGGCAGGGGATTTCTCCAAGCCCAGAAGAGGCAAAGGTAGAAGCTGGAACTGATGAGCACACAACCATCATAAAACAAAAGGTTGGCAAGTTGTTTACTTGCCTTGAGAAGGTTGTGAGCAGCCACAACGCGTGAATTCTACAATAACAACACGTGAGTTCAGTGCTGATAGAAACAGGGGAATGGTTTACCTCTGAAAACTTTGTGTCGCTTTTATCCACTCCAAGATTGAACGGAAAAACCCGCGGACAAACCATATTCAGTTTTGCCAACAGCAAAGCACTTGACTTGAAAATCGGGCATCTCGTTTTGCTCCTGCAACTATGCATATGAACAAAAACAAAGATTAAAAGAGGAGCACTGACATGAAAGATCGCTTACCAGCCAGGACCTGCAAGTACATGCTGCGCAGCTGCAAACTTTGTCATCCAGCAGCTGTATCCAGCATCTTCGACCACAGGTAAAGGACTAAGATGCACGACACATACCACTTCTGCTTTGGTTCTTGGAGAAGAATACAATGCTTCCAATGATGCTGCAGAAGTTAAAGCCGGTATATGAGAGACTGTTGGACAGTCTACAACGACGAAGACTGGTCCAGAAGTAGACGGTTCCATCACGTCGTCTGGATGAATCTGAGACAAAAAAAAATCTGATAAGCCAGCGAAAGGAATGAACAAAGCTAGCTTACAGTCCGTGCACCATCATCTGTTTCCACAGTCATACCCCTTTGAAGCAGTCCATATTTTTGCCCTGGCTGCAATCCCAAACTCACTGCTTTTGCTGGATCAAATCTACCTTTCACTTCAGGGAGCTCACAAACGTAGACTACGGAAGGCTCTTTTTCTACACAGGATTATATAGAGCTGTTACGAACTAAAATGCAAACCACTAGGAGAATAGTACCTTCGCAGTTCTTGCCACTGCAAGGTTGAAGAAGAGTGCCGGATATTTTAACAGCATCGTCATCGATAATCGTTCCTCCTTGAGGCATCGTATCAGACCCAAAGATGTGCGCATGTAGAATTGAAGAGTTCGGGATAAACGTAGACATGGCATTCAGTAAGAACTGAAGCTTAGAGGGACCCCATATATTTACCTGAAAAAAACCGGTGTTTTTACTTCAGTCTCCAAGGACTGAAAATCGTTACCGTCGCCTCGAGATCTCTAGCGAGCGTCAGTAAGGCCCCTGCAGCAGCATACTGCTAAGAAAATCAATCGAATCTAGACCCAAAGAAAGGAAAGAAAGAAAGAAAAACGATTACCAGGAAGACCACCGCAAGTCTCAGAGCAAACCCGAGTGAAAAGAATATGGTCAATCTAAACAACAAGAATCAAAAGCCAGTCCCTTGAGAATTTCTATAAGTTTGCCTTTGAAAGTTTAATCTTGTGCTCCACACAAAAACGTTGCATTCCCTGCAATAAAAAATACCTTTCAAATCCTTTCTATGTCACAAAAGCGGCACGTAAGTACCTCTCCAGCATTGAAGATGAAGCGCTTGTTATCAAAAAAGAGCAAAACACTGGGCATTTCCATTCCAGTCCCTAAAATCTGCCAAAACAAACAGGAATCACCGATCGATCGATAAGAGAAACAGATATACCTGAATGTAGCTGGTGCCGAGCTTGGAAGATCTCTGCGCAGGCCGCAGCGACACCGCCCTGGGCAAGCGCATCGCCTCCACCGCCATAGCCAACCTAAATAAACCCTAGTTTTGAAAGTGGAATATTCTCGCACTGTGGCGCGGTTACGTTACATTAACAAAACACTTTATGATTTTTGCAAAGAAGCTGACGAGAATGCTGTTCACCTCTTCAGCGCTCTCTTGCTGCATGATGAAGTGGCCAGACGACAACAAAATCGTCTCCTTGAGACTGGGAATGTCGGCGTTCAATCCACGTAATCGCGAATCCCAGGCATGAAGTAAACAAGGTCACGGTCCCCAGTCATGAACAAGGCTGGCACGCTGATCTTCACCAAGAAGCTTTGAGTTGCCATTATCTAGGAGAACAAATCGATCCACAACTTACAAGTCTACTGCTCTATAGTAGGTGCAAGAAAACTCTTGGGCATAATAGTCAAGCACTTCCTCGCTAATCCATGCAGGCAGCTCGAGTATGTCCATGAATTCCTTGTTTTTAGGAGCAACCATGAGTTCCCCTTTGCTATTCAAGAGCATTTTCATTTCCTTTTCTTGGTGTCAAAGCGCAAAATATCGTCTCAGACGCCTCCCGGTTCTCAGGAGGAGGACATTCTCATCGCCATCGATGAGAATGCTCCTGCATTTGAGCCTCGTGGGAAGCAGATCTGCTACAGGGCTTTTCTGGAGCTGGTCTTTGAGAAGACAGAGAAAGGAAGCTTCAAGAAGCGGCAGTCACATTCTCTCAAGTGGCTCGCAGGGATAGCTAGCAGGAGTGATGACGAGGATCAGAGGAAATCAAGATTGAAGGGGTCGATGGCAAGAAGAGGAGATTGCAAATGACGAAAGAGATTGCCTCGTTTATTTACAAAGCTAAATCCAGGTATGAACTTCTTTTTTCTTCTTTTATTCTTCTATTTTTCCTCTCTCTTCTCTTTTTGTTTCTTCTTTAATATCTCTTTCCTCATTATTATCAAGTTTAAAGATTAAACTAAAAGCTTTTGTAATATATTTATTGACAGCAACGACGACATCAGCAATTACGCTGCTCATACAGCTTCTGCCAAAGAAATGGCGTTCGCTACTCGGGAAGAGCTGAAAACGATGACTGATGACGAGAAGAGTAGCACGGAAGTGATCTTTGCAACAATAGTTGGCGCTGATATCGACACTGTCATCAGTAGTGCAGGGACGGAATTTTAGGAGAGAGTAACTTCCGAAAGCAGCCAAGACAGAGTCTCACGCAGGAAAGAAGAAAACAAGAGGAGCCAGAGCATGTCTTATGGTGGTGAGAATTCTTCTTCATGTGTGAAAGAAGGAGAAGAGGCAGACCTCTCTGAGGTTTGCCTCTTCTCAACGCTACCTGAATCCAATACAGAAAAGGAAACGACAAGTAAAAAATCCAAGCAATCAGAGCCACTAGAGTAAGCTATGGTTTCTTATTCATGATTATTATCTAAATCACTGCTTGATGTACACAGAGAACGGGAGCAGTAGTAGTGGCAGCCAGGCTATGTGAAACGTAGAATTGCAAGTTCAATATCTATTCACACCATTCCAGTCTGGCGGATTCCAGCAAAGTTTTCTCGAGCGATATTGACCAACTTCGCAACGTGGTCTCGTGGAACGTCTGAGAACGGTGACGAGCTCTGAGGCTGTTCCACAGGATGAGACGCGAAGGCTGTCGACCAAACGCATCAATTTACGTCGAGCTTCTGGCCTGGTGTCACCAGGCCGAAGGTGTAATCGCGGGCAAGGTGATGCTCGAGACGGACACGTACAGGATCACCATGGAGGCCTTGCAGTATCAGCGGCCAGCTTCTGCTGCAGAACGTCGCGAGAAGAGCCAGTAGCAGTGGAGGCTGCGTTTGATCGACTTGGAGACGGTGTGGGAGGCTGGCTATGAGCCTCGGGCTTGGGACGCTTGTGGATGGCAATCGCTCGTATCTTTATCTCGTCGGTAAGCTGCTGATGATCCTGTGAAAGATCTCTCAGCTTGGCTTTTCCGATTCAAACTGCCATCTATCTTGTAGCGCTTGCCACGCGGCGCTAAAGTCGAGAGCTAGAGATGTCGAAAGAGGCCGGCAAATCCACGCGAACGCGAAAGAAAGTGGTGAGGATTCGGACTCTCACGTAGTCAGTAGCTTGGTGGCGATGTACATGAAGTGTGGCAGCGTAGCGGAAGCACAGCAGGCCTTCGACAGGATTCCTCGCCCCGACGCAGTGTGCTGGAACGCTTTGATCTCGGGCTATGCGGAGAATGGCGAGGCTAAGGTGGCCTTGCAGCTCTTTCGATCGATGCAATAGTGCTGCGGAGCAAACTCACGAACTTTGCCGCTGCACTCGCTGCGTGCTCCACTCTTGCCGAAGAAGGCCGGAAAGTTGATGGGAGGATGGTGAATGTTTTTTCGCTGCATCGAGGCATGGAAGTTCATCGTCAAGCTGAGGCTGGGATGGGAATAGATGCAATCCATCGCAACGTCTACCTGGGGAATGCTCTCATCGACATGTACGTGAAGTGCCGGAGCATGGTGCGTGCTCAAGAGGTGTTCGACAGGATGAAAACTCGGGATGTGGTCTCTTGGAACGTATTGATGCTCGACTACGCATAGGATGGTGAGAACGAGGAGCTAGCTCTCGAGATGTTTACGAAGATGGTGTCTGTCAGCTTGGTAGCTGGAGTGTTGTCGCTGCTCTCCAGGCCTGTAGCAATCTCGCAGCCAAGGAAGAAGCTCGGAATCCACAAGAGAAGCTCAGGTTTCTAGTAACGGGTGTGGCGATCTATGGAACGGCCGAGGGACTGGGATCTGATTTTAACATCTTCGTGGCCAACGCTCTTCTCAACATGTACGCAAACTGTCCCACTCGGAGGCATCCAGCTTCGTCACAGCTTCACGATGAACAACTATGGTGATTTCCAATGCTCTCGTTCGATCCCTTTCTTTGTTCTTGACTGCAAGACTGCCGCAAGCCTTGAAAGCCGCGACGACTGTCAAGCTGGTTGGAGAAATACCACCATCGCACAAGAGAGCCTCAAACAGCTCTAGAGCAGCCTCACTTTCGTCGTTCTGTGTGTATCCCGAGATCACTGTGTTCCAGATAACAACGTCGCGATGCTTCACACGGTCGAAAACTCTGCGAGAATCGGCCATGCTCCCACACTTCCCATACATGTCCACCAAGCAGTTTGCCACGTACAAGTCTTCCAGATCAAAGCCTCGCCAGCAAGTGCACCGCCATTTCTGCTTCCAGCAAACTCAGCTTCACGATCTTCCCATCGACTTGCCTTCCCTGTTCTTGAGTCGAGAGGGTGCTACACGCCTTAAGCGCAGCCACCAAAGTCAGCCTGTCCAGTAGGCAGCACCGAGAGTGTAGCAAATCTCTAAAGAGTTGAAGCGCCATCTTTCCTTCGTCGTTCTCACCATAGCCCAGGATGATCGTGTTCCAGGAAACCACATCCCGCCGCTGCATCTTATCGAAAACTCTTCTCGCGTCCACCATGCTTCCACGCTTACATGACGAGCAGCTTGATCGATGCGTACGCCAGGTGTGGGAGGCTGGGCAACACCGGTCAGCTTCGCAACGTGGTCTCGTGGAACGTCTTGATCCTTGGCTTCGCGGAGAACGGCGATGCTAGACGAGCTTTGAGGTTGTTCCACAGGATGAGACGCGAAGGCTGCCGACCAAACGCATCAACGTACGTCGCGGTGCTGAAAGCTTGCAGCATTCGAGTCTAGACCTTGGGAGAAAAGTCAAGGCTCTGATCTACCGTTGAGGCATTGAGGAAGATGGAGTTTTGGCTGGAACCCTGGTTGACTTTCACGGCAAAGCTGGAGACATGGTTTCCGCTCGCCAGCTATTTGACTCGCTAGCGGGAGATGGTGACGAGGCCTGGAGTGCGCTGATCGCCGGATACAGCAGGCAAGGGGACGCAAGCCAAGCGCCGACACTGTTTTACGAGATGGTAAACTCTGGCATCAAACCGCATGGTATCACAGCTCTCGCAGTTCTAACCACGGTGGTTTCGTCGAGGCAGGGAAGAAGTTCTTCCAAGAAATGCCATCCAAATACGGCATTGTCCCCGAAGTGGAGCAGTTCCACTGCGTTGTCGATCTTCTCAGCAGAGCAAACCAGCGGGAAGAAGCGCTCGCGCTGGTTCAAGGTATGACGAAGAGGTGGAACTTTGAACCTAAAACCGCTTGTGGTGCGTGATTAGTCTCTATCTTCGAGAAACTTTACTACGAGCTGAGCGAGAGCGAATGGGCAAAACTTGCTGCTCTAGCTGCTCTACTATCACTCTTCTTCTCAGGTATTTCCATCTTTTGCTCGTTATGTTTCTTTTCTATTTTCTAGCTAGCTTTTGTCCAGACATGCTGGAGTCGACCGTCTTTCACAGTAGTAAATGACTGTCTCCGCAAAGGATAAGAGGCTGCCTTCCATGTTCCAGGACAAAATGTCCAAGTAGAAAGAAGTTCCTTCATCCTGGTCCCTCAAGCTTGGCCGAGTTTACATGAACTTTGAGCTCACAAGATTGTTAATATGTTCTTGGTTTTGTGTTTGTGAGGCTTGGCTTTTCAAATTCTGCTGTACTAGACATAATTATACAATACGTCCTCGAAATCTATTCTTCCTTTGTGACGTACACGATTTTCTCAAAGTACTCGCGAGGAACTACACCGTCGAAGCCTTCAGTGAGCACAACCCCGTTTTCGGACATGAAAAACTTCATGCCATCCTTCATAGCTTTGGCCAAATCCAAGTATATGAGCACCTCACATTTGCTCTTCATCCCACTTATCACACCGTCTTGAGGCAAACCAGTCGCGAAATGTACATGGTTCCTCTTCATTCGCTTGAGACCTGTTTTGCGAATCCCTCTAAAGTTGTTTCGAAAGGTGCCATGGACGCACATAGGCACTTCATCAGCGGATTTGATCTCCCTTAGCAGCTCTGCTGTTTGCACAGCATCCATGGTATGACCTTGGTTAGCCCTAATGTAAAGTTGGCCGTCCTCCTTCTCGATAGTTGAGAATCTTTGCTTTGGATCGCAGGCTACCATGCTCATCATGTCGGCTACTGTGAATGAAGATAGGGGGATTCCACCGCCAGTTTTCACGTCCATCTCTAGCAAATCTTTGATACTGCAATATCCGTTGCTCCGAATCTTCAAATCCATTTTGACAGCACCGTGCCTCAAAACCCATGCTATTGTCTTACTCTCCATGCACAAGTGTTTAACCTAATATATGACGCTATTATAACTTTTCAATCAGGAATATACTTAAAAAGGTTAGTTACCTTTTTAGTCTTCGAGGAATAAACCAGAGTTACATGAACTTCGAGCTCGTCAAAATCTCTCGACCTGATGAGTGTTGTCCGTAGTACTATAAGTTCTCGTATTGGCTGTGATAGCTTTAGGATCCAGCAAAGTCCTGGAGAGCATAGTTTTGTCACCAAGGATCAAAAAGTTTGGCTCTACCTTCCAGGCGTTCGAAAATTTCCCTCCGTTGATTCGAGACATCGTCACAAGAATGTTTGCTCCCGTCCACGCTTCTTTGCCAAACTTTCCATTCTTTCAGCTTCCTCTTTCCAATTGATTGATCTAGAGTTTGGCACGGATCCTCGATGCTAGAAATCTGGAACTCCAAGAAACAAATCTCCTGTCCTAATTGCCAAGAATCTCATTATTGTAGTTTCGGATAACGCGCGCTGATGCGATGATAAACCCTAGAATTTATTTCGAATAAACAATGGTAAACACCGGGCTCCAGCATATGATCGATCACTCTCTTGCCATTTTGGTTCACGACTTGGACTCGTGGTACGCAGAGTCGGAGGAAAATCCTGGCGAGCACATCGCATGCTGCAAGAAATCCACGGATGTGACTATAAGATCCAAGTGATCAGCTAAAACTTACCGGATCCAGCTTGACGAGCTCAGCACCAAGACCGACGTGCTTGAAAATTGGCAAGCTATCGCTGGATAAAACGGAAACTCTGCCTCCGTTTTTTATATCCACGTCGAGCTTTGCCTCCTCGCAGTTGTAAGCAAACTCTCCATAGGAAGAGTTGCTCAAATCGGTTGTCTCCGGCATTGCTTCCTTCTGGCTATGGAGCAATCAAACCTTTGAGAAGTTCAGCGCTAAAAACAAAAATCCAAGAAGAACTTACAGTGAATTCTCCAGCTTTGAGGCTTTTGCTCGTGTCTCCGAGACATGAGGAAAGCGATATCATCGCCTTTCTTTACATTCGCCGGGACTCTCCGCAAAAGTCAGTCCTAATTTACCATTTCCCGAAGAGAGAAAATCCCGGAATTTTAGCATGCATGAGAAGAAAATTCACATGCAATCTCGGAGTATTTCGGCATCAGCAAACCCCTAGGATTGAGACTGAGTGCGACGCCCCAACCCGAGCTTCCTTCAACATCTTGGAGTGGGCGCCGGGCCAAAACTCGTAATCCCGCCATCGTTGGCGCACAGTCTCGCATTGGGAGATCGTGGCGTGAGATCGACATCCCATCGCAAGAACAAACCTTGAGCTCTCTCCACACAAATGAAGAGACACTGATAGCAAGCTAGCTATTTATATAAAGGAAGCGCGCTCGTCGACAATTGGCCTTATACTATCGCAAGGGAAGCTTTCGAGTATAGAAAAGTGTCGGGACAGGTTTATTTTGTGGAGAAAATACAGAGAATCAACGCACGTTTTATTAGTTAAGTCCAATTTAGCCCTTAGCTTATTATCCAAGTTACGTTCTTCTAGAATATTTTGTAACCATTGTACAATATTCCTCCAAATAAGTTAATTTTTTTTCCTACCCTAATAGAATATTCGTCACACTGTTCACGAGATAACGCATTGTGTACTAGGGGACATCTGAGCATGGTAAAAGTCTCCAGAATTTACCAGCGGTCAATGTCGTTGTGTAAAATTTGGCGGCGGGTAAGAGGCTTTCAATTTGCGCTCTTCCAAAGGTACGTTTTCTTCTTTCTAGGTCTTCCTCGTTATATCATTCCTTTCTTCGCGATCGAGGAGCTCTTTCGCGAGCGCCGGGCGAGGGATTCTCCATTCCAAAGTAAGCGCGCATGCTAGAATGTCAGGGATTGATGGATCTTGAGGTAGATTATCGTTTGGTACAAGGCATGAGCACTCCGATATTCGGGATCTTCTCCAGCGGGAGCACCAATCGATCTTGCAGGAGGAATCGAGAAGGTATACCAAACCGGCATTGAAATTTCTTGCGTGTCGATCGAGCCCCTCAGATATTTCTTCCAGGAGTCGAAGCTCCGAGGAATAGCCTGGATTGTCCAGTCTCGAGTTCTCGATGGATTCACGAAGACATCCCCGTAAGTCTTTTAGAGTGTTCTTCGTTTTTATTTTTTCTTTCTATTCGTGTGTCTCACCATATGATCTTCCAGTTTGGCTTTGAGATTCCAGCTGCGAAGCATAGCGTTCTTTCAACGTGCGCAAAAGTAAAACCACCCGGTGTAGTGGCAAGACTTATGGGTCTCGAGACAATGCCGGTGGAGACAATGGGTGACATGCTTAAGAGGAACGGCTCTTCGTTGGAAAGGGCGAAGATGATAGAAGCTGTCTCGCGCAAACTCTCGCGTGAGACACAGTCGCAAGAAGCTGGCCAGTTTTCAAGAGCCATAAAGTCAGTGCTGGACGAGACTTTCCGGGAGGGAACAACACCGACTTACTCTCCGAGGGTTACGCACCGATCCCGGCAGCTTTTGGAAGCGATGCGGTCTCTCGAGCCGAGTAAGGACAGCTTTCTCCAGTTTGAAAATCCAGTGGAGCCTGTGAATGAGGAGCCTTTGAAGACGCCAACTCTTCTCCATCTCTTGTTGAACGGACATGAAGGGCAACGTGCTGAAACTCGAAAGAAAGTCTCTATTGACAATGGTTCGACGAGGATTGTTGTTTTGAAGCCTGGTCCGGCAAAGGGAAGACAAGAAACATGGTCCTGTTCTCCACCAGTACATGCTAGCACAAGAGAAACTCGACAATTTCACGAGAAGGTGATGATCAACAAGCCGCACTCTCCAGATTTTCGGGAAACAACCAGCAACAAAGTCTTTGAAACGCAACCGCGATTTCACAGGGAGGAGTTTGAGCCCGGCTCTCCGGCCAGGGAGAAAGTACTGCACGCTGTCACCGAAACCAAAACGCAGCAGCAATCTGCCAGGGAGTTCGTTATACATCGCCTCAGAGATGGCTCCAAGGATGCGAAAGAAATTGCTCAAGAGATCGCCAGGAAGGCTCGGGAGAGTGCTTTCAGAGACGTCAGCTCGCGTTTGCCGTCGCCGGAACGGACGCCACTGGACATCCAAGACGCTTCCACCCCGACACTGAGACGATATATCAGTTGCCACCAAAGTTTGGAGAGTGTGAATCTTACGTCTTCGCCAGCATACCAAACGACGCCAATAAAACTTTCGAGAAAGCAGGCTCTCGTGGACGAAGACCGGCCTGGAGACACGCTAGAACAGAGTACCTTTTCTGAAGATTATGATACACGACTGGCGCCTCAAGTTGAAATCGTAGAGGTATGGTTTCCAAGGTGGTCTTTCTCTCGATGACGAATTTTTTCAGGCCACTGGAAATGCGAGCGAGGCGTTGCTCTCTTCACAGCAGACAAGTCCAGTGTCTTCTATTTTGGAACTTCGCAAAAGACACTCGGGAGGTAATGCTACCTATGAACAAGTTTTTCTTTCTCTGAGTTAACGTGGTGTCTTGCAGAAACTCGTCGATTTTTAAAAGCACCGAATCGGGGAGTAAACACAGAGAAACCTGTGGCTGATACTCGTCTAGCAGATCTTGTCTACGTTTCTAAGGTACTTTTGGCGTCCAAGAATCCGCCCCTTTATGAGTGTGGCAGTCGAAGGTCTGTGGCTATTTCTCAAGTTTTTCAGACGCTGGAAGCAGACTATCAAGGAAATCCTGACAATTTATCTCATCGCCGGTTTCTCTTCGACGTCGTCAACGAGATTTTGGCTCGGAAGTCTTGTAAGCCTTCGAGCCGGGGACTTCTGCGAGACGTTTGGAGTGAGATATGCCATAACACAGGCCTCCAGCAGCAGTCAGTCGAAGGCCTTCACCAGGGAGATGTTAGTAAAGAGGCAAACTGGGCAGGCACAGAGGAGGAGCTACAGAGAATAGCAGTGCAAATTGCGAAGGAGATTTTCAGCTTTCTACTGGATGAGGCTGCCAGAGAGTTACTGAAGGCAGGAACCCGCGACAAGTGTCCTCTCGTTTTCCCCGAGACGGAAGAATGATTCTTTCCGGAAAAAGCCAACGTGGAAGGGCGAGGAACGGGCTTCGGTGTGTCAGCTGGCCTACTCCACCAAAATATAGCGCTTCAGGTTCGTTCTTTCTTCTTCTTCTAGAGAAACTGCATTGACAATATGATGTTTGCAGGCAGACCACATGTGGTACTCGTCCCGTATCCTGCTCAGGGGCACTTTTCGCCAGTTGTGTTCCTCGGCAAGAAGCTGGCAGAACTCGGATGCGCAGTTACCATCGCCAACGTGGTTTCCATTCATGAGCAGATCAAGGTATGGGATTTTCCTTCGGAGTTGGATATCAGGCTGGAGCCTCTTCATCCCGCGGTGGATTTGTCGAAAGGAGTTCTCGCTGCTGCAGAAGCTGATCTAATGCGCTTTTCAAGAGCAGTTTACGATCTCGGCGGCGAGTTCAAGAATTTGATCCAAGCTCTGAATGACAGTGGACCTCGCATTACCGTCATAATCTCTGATCACTATGCTGGATCATGGTGTGCTCCAGTCGCCAGCGAATTTGGAATTCCATACGCTGTTTACTGGCCTGGAAGTGCGGCTTGGTTTGCTGTTGAGTACCACGTCCCACTGCTTATTTCCGAAGGCGATCTTCCGATAAAAGGTTTGTCTTTGTCAACTCTTATAGCTCTAAATCTTTGTCTTGTTTAAAATCAGATGGCGAGGACCGAGAAATCACTTACATTCCGGGGATAGACTCGATCAAGCAGTCTGATCTTCCATGGCACTACACGGAAGCCGTGCTTGAGTACTTTCGTGCTGGAGCCGAGCGGCTCAAGGCGTCCTCCTGGATCCTGTGTAACACATTCCACGAGCTGGAGCCCGAGGTGGTGGACGCGATGAAGAAGCTTTTCAACGACAAGTTTCTGCCAATCGGTCCCTTGTTCCCGGTGCTGGATGATCACGGCGACTTGAAGTCCGTGCTGAGCTTTCTCAAGGAGGACAGGGAATGCCTCGACTGGCTCGACACGCAGGAGCCAGACTCAGTCCTCTATGTCGCATTCGGCAGCATAGCGAAGCTGTCGCAGGAGGAATTCGAGGAGCTCGCGCTCGGTTTGGAGGCGAGCAAGGTGCCGTTCTTGCTCACAGTCAGGCCGCCCCAGTTCGTGGACGAAGCAGACACGACAGTCCTGGTGAAGAACAGTGACTTCTACAAGAACTTCGTCGAGCGGACCAAGGGACGAGGCCTGGCGGTTTCATGGGCGCCGCAGAGAGAAGTTCTGGCGCACAGGGCAGTGGCTGGATTCGTGAGCCACTGCGGATGGAACTCGGTCCTGGAGAGCGTCTCCAGCGGCGTGCCGATCATCTGCTGGCCTCGGATATACGAGCAGGGGCTCAACCGCAAGATCATGGCGGAGAGCTGCCGCATTGGGGTGGAAGTTTCGGACGTGAGGAGCTCCGACGCGTTTGTGAAGCGGGAGGAGATTGCTGAGGCCATTGCGAGGATCTTCAGCGACAAAGCTCGAAAGACGAGAGCGAGGGAATTCAGGGACGCGGCGAGAAAGGCAGCGGCACCGGGTGGTGGCTCTCGGAATAACCTGATGCTATTCACAGACTTGTGTTCTACCGACACTCGGTCGTGATCTTTGGCTTCGGTCTAACAAACTGTGGTCGCTTTGATCTACCAGTGCAAGATCTCAGTTGACAAAATCAAATTCTTCTGCTGTCTTGATCCCGGGATTCTAAGGATCTTTCTAAATCAAACAGTGAACAAGCTCGGGACAGCCCCGGGTGGTGGGCTTGGGAATAACCGGGTTAAAAACTTAAGTGTTCTACCGACATTCACGAAGATCTCTTCTCGAATATCTCTTCCCAGTCAATCGTAGTTATGTTCTGGAACTCTCCTCGCTCCCCGTGGATCACACGGACTATATAAAGCGCGACTTCAACAAACCTTTCTCCAGCCTCTCGCATTTCCAGATCTTTCTTCTAGATTTCCATTTCCAATGGCTTCTAGTGATCAAGATGTAACACTGCTCAGCTCTTGGGCCAGCCCCTTCTCGATGCGAGCCAAGCTTGCACTGTTGCTCAAGGGCATCGAGCACGAAGATCTCCCCCAGGATTTGGGCAACAAGAGCAAGATCCTGCTCGAGTCCAATCCAGTTCACAAGAAGGTCCCGGTTCTCATCCACAAGGGCAAGCCCATCGCAGAGTCGGCCATCATCGTCCACTACATCGACGAGGTTTGGCCTGGAACATCGCCACTCTTGCCGAAAGACGCATTCCTCCGCGCAGAGCACCGCTTTTGGACCGATTTCATCGACAAGAAGGTATGTTCTATACATCTCGAGAAATCTACTCGATCTCACGCCTTTGCTTGTACAGCTGCTGGACTGCTTGATGCGTTTCGTGCGCGGGAACGACAAAGATGCCGCAAACGAGGAATTCATCGCCAACTGCGTGTTTCTCGAGGGGGCCTTGACGAAGCTGGGGAGTGAACAAGAGGGTCCCTTCTTCGGCGGCGCGAGCTTCTCCTTCTTAGATGTGATGCTCGCTCCCTACGCCCCCGGGGTTGTGGGAGTGATGGGCTTGAAGCATGCCAGCGAGGAGCAGTGCCCGCGTCTCCACAAGTTCTTCGAGGCCGTGTCCGAGCATCCCGCTGCCAAGGGCGCACTGCCCCCGGTCGAGAAGCTCAAGGAATTAATCCGAAATAAGTAGAAACCTTTGCATGAATAACACTTTTCCAGCCATATCTTGATTGAGCATATTGATAGCTAAAACATTGATCAGATAACATAATGACAATGTCACTACTGTTTGGATTGATCGCATTCTAGAATTCTACTGTTCTCTCGAGACCTCATTTTCCAATCCATTCCGGATCCATGGAAGGCGTGACGCTGCTCAGCTCCCGGGTGAGCCACTTTTCTCTGCGAGTAAAGATTGCATTGCTACTCAAAGGCATCGAGCACGATGATCTCCCCCAGGAGGGCCAGCTCCTGCTCGAATCCAATCCAATCCACAAGAAGGTCCCGGTTCTCATCCACAATGGGAAGCCCATTGTGGAATCGGTCATTATTGTTCAGTTCAGTACATCGACGAGGTCTAACGCGGAGAATCTCCACTGCTGCCTCCGGACGCTCTCCTCCGCGCAGAGTATCGCTTCTGGACGGATTTCATCGACAAGAAGGTATGCGTCTCTAGAGCCACACATCCCTGATGTGATCCATCGCACAGCTTCTGGATTGCTTGATGCGATTCATGCGTGGAGACGCCAAGAACGAGGAGTTTATCGAGAACTGCGAGCTTCTCGAGGGAGCATTCACGAAGCTGGGCAATGAGGAAGAAGGCCCATTCTTTGGCGGAGTGAGAATGTCGTTCTTGGATGTGATGCTCGCCCCCTACGCGGTGTGGATCCCAGGGATTGCGGGCGTGATGGGCTTGAAGCCCGCGAGCCAGGAGCAGTGCCCGCGTCTCCACAACTTCTTCCAGGCCGTGCTCGCGCATCCCGCTGCCAAGCTCGCGCTGCCCACAGTCGAGGCGCTCAAAGAGTTTCTCGTGGCTCGCTCCGCGGTGTACAGAGGAAAGTGATAGAGAGAAAAAAGAATATGCTTAATTTTATTAGAATATTCTTTACGTGGTAGAGTACATTACGTATCTCTAAGTCCGTCTGCCTTCTCGGAAATTCACATACGAAACAAGGCCACTCTTGCCGCAGGATGCACTCCTCCGTGCATAGCACCATTTTAGACCGATTTCATCAACAAGAAGGGATGCTTTCTCTCCAGAGTGCCAAATCCTTGATATGATCTATCCCACAGGTTGTGTGGAGACAACCAAGGTTAGCCATCTCTTGAAGGCAAACATCTTAGATTTGGTGCACTTTTTATTTAGTGTTTTTCTTTGATTTGAAACTTGGCAAATGGTCATCGCCCAACCTGTGATCTCTCTAGAGATGTTCTGAAGAGCACAAAATGGCAAACCTCCAAATGCACACACAAATGAGAGCAATAGGACAAGTATTGCAATCACTTCTAATGTTCATGATTTGTGGAACATACTCTGGTTTGCCAGAAAAAAAGAGACCAATAGCAGAAACATTGTTGTAAGCACTCAGGTGAAGTGAGACATTGGGTGACAGTTGATTGGGATATCAATCTTTTGGGTCAGATCATCAGATAAAACTCACAGACGTAAGAATGCTCTAGCAGAAAGGTCAAACGTTGTGGCACGTACCCCATAAGTGGTTTCATAAATATAATGTTATGCTACCAAATTTTGTTTCCCAAAAAAGAAAAAAAACAGTATTATTTCCCACTAGTCATTGCCCAATATATGCTGCCCAGTTAGTAAACATTATTTTGATTATCATAGTTCTATTACATTAAAAATTAAATTAAAATAGTATTAAAATAACATATATTATATTCCACTTTGAAAGAAGAATTGAAAAAATAACTATATGCATCTGTTTTTTCATAGAAAATTATCAAATTCCTTAGAGAGAATTATAAGATCTAAATAACACAGCAAATCTCCACTACAAAAGGTTGAATATTAATGCTGATCAATTGGCCACCTCCTATTGGCTAAGAGCAAACATTAACATCATTATTCATGATTATTTGAGGCCAGGCAGATGTTTCAGAAAAACCCAATGAAGAATCTTGTCAGCTGGAATGTTGTTATTGCAGCAATTGCCATGGCTGGGGATCTGGAGGAGGCATGGTGATTGTTTGATGGGATGCCTTTCTACAGTCTCATGTCATGGATAATGATGATCACTGCCTATGCAGATTGCAGAATGGTTGATAAAATGAAAACTTTTTTTCTTGCACTGGCACATAGAGACATCATCCGTTGGAACATGATGCTTTTGTGCTATGCCCAAAATTGGCATCTGGAGGAAGCCAATGCCCTCTTCAATGAGATGCCAGAGCGAGATGTTTCGTCATATACAACAATGATATCAGTTTTGGCATCAAGAAATGATTTAGAAAATGTGAAGGATCTATTTGATTCTATGCCATTACGAACTATAACTTCTTGGAGCTCTATGAATATGGCAAATGCCACGAATGGGCAAATGGCAATTGTTTTCTTTGAGATGCCCGAGTGGGACTGCTGCTTGTGGAACAGCCTCCTGGGTGCGATTGCAGAGTCTGGGAGGATCAACGATGCAATCATGATATTTCAGAGAATCCCTTTCAGAGACACAACTTGATGATCACAGCAATGGGTTCTTGTGGCCATATCCGTGAGGCTCAAGCGCTCTTTGCTGTGATGCCACAGAGAAACCCTGTCTCCTGGAGCACAATGATCAGAGCTTATGCACAGTAGGGACTGGCCATGGACACAAAGATTTTGTTTGATTTCATAGAGTCGCACAACATGGTCGTGTGGAACTCACTCCCTGGCTGCCTACCTCGCGAGTGATTGAGTGGGCAATGCTCGAAAAGTGTTTGATTCCATGCGTGATCGAGACATGGTATTGTAGACATTGATGATCTCTGCCCACGCCACATGGGGCCAGATGTGCACTCTTCAATTCCATGCCGCAGTGTGTTGTGGCGGCATGGAATGCAATCATCTCTGGCTACATGAGGAGCAGCAATCTCAATGAGGCGCAGCTCCTCTTTGGTCTGATGCCCCATCACAACGCCCTGACGATCAATGCCATGGTCACAGCACTTGCGTTGGTGGCAGGATTGAGCAGGCCAAGCTCCTCTTTGATCGATTTGCATCGCCCAACTCCGCAATCTCCATGCTCAAGGACTAGGTGAGGCATACGCTCAGTTCGGGAGGATCAAGGAAGCCAGGGTGCTGTTTGATCGCTTGAGCCCGGAGAGTTGGGACCGTAGCGCGATCAGAGCGATCATCGATGTGTATGCCTGGATTGTGGATGTTGCAGAGGTGTGGCAGATCTTCTCTCAAATCGAGCTACAATGCCATGATCACAGCATTGGCCTCGAATAGGCATTTGTGCAAGACTCCTCTCTAGTGCAAGAGAGCAGCATAGTGTTCTGGAACACCATCCTCACGAGCTACATCCAATTCAGCCATCTTGGCCCCGCAATTGCAATTGCGATCTTCCATGCCATGCTGGATCTAAATCTAGTCTCTTAGACAGCAGTGATCACTGGCATCGCCCACAATCCCAGATTGCATTGATCAGCACTGGATCTTTTCCGTGACCTCTAGCAGGAGGGCTGGAACTCCAGCAAGATCTGCTACAGAACACATGCATGTGGCACGCATTGCTGCACCTTCCTCTCCCCCACACAGCTTGGCCACCTCCCATTGGCCAGGAGCAAACATCAGTGTGATTATTCCCAAACACATGGTTAAAAAAATAAGCCCTTTACAGTTACCCCCCCATCAGATGGCTGCGATTGGCTAGATCCAGCAGCCCAGAAAGTTTAGCAATTCCTGATAGACTTCTTGAAGAGTGCATTCTTGAGAGCTTGAGCAGCCGAGGGGCGATTTTTTGCTGCTGGATGCATCAGAGACTTGATGAAACTTTGGAATGCAAGAGAGAATCCAGGAAGAAGAGTGAGCTTTCCCTGGTGGATGGCTTGATACTGCCTTCCAGATGCTGGTGGTGGCGAGCATCTCGTGAGCTCGTGGAATGTCACCCCCAGGGAAAACATGTCAACTTTGTCGAGGTGGCTGTGATCATTGTTGATGAACTCCATTGGGAGATATCTCAAGTTGCCATTTTCGATGGAAATGGTTCCATCGATTCAACTGGCAAGGCCTGAGTTGCCAATCTTGTAGACACGATTGCAGATGTAAATCTTGTCAAGCTTCACGTCCAGGTGAGTGAGGCCATGTGAGTGTAAGTGCTTGAAAGTGTTTAAGAGCTGTCATAAGAAAAGAATAGAATTGAGCTGCTTACTTGAAACATTGCCTCAGTCAGCTTCTTCTCCGTGAATGTCCATGCAAAGCTCTCATCTCATAGATTCATCTTGCACAGCTCCATTTGGATATATAAAAAGTCATTCTCAAACCATGAAGAGAAGTAGAACACTATGTTTTCATGGCAACCTGGAAGCTGGATAAGTTTTGAGGAAGCTAGTGGTAATACTGAAAGAAAAAAGCCAACTCACCAAGACACAAAAGTGTTTGAACTTCTCTCAATGCTTTCCTCCTGCAAAGAGAAAAATTTGCCAAATCAATACCATCGTCTCTCAAATATAGTGACAAACCGATCTCCCTCATTTAGCAGATGCCAATTGGAATGCTAAAGGCAGCCATCAAGTCTTTTGAGAACTTTATAAACATAGCTAAAATTACCTCATCCTATTTCCTGATAGTGGAGTAAGAATGAAGATCATACAAATTCTATGCACCACAAATACCTTGATTTGATGGAACTCCTCACAGTAACACAATGAAGAGCCAAAAGTGGAGACACATCTTGTATGAAAATACCAAAGTTATGAAAGAAAAATGAAAAATAACAACATATCCTACCTAGCTCTCTTAGGAATCTGGAAGCATGGTGGGGACATGATGTGCTGTTGCAGCGATAATGTCTTTGCATTCTCTGCTTCTTGGTTCAAATATTCATCTAGGAAAAGAAGAACAGAATGAAAAAAAGCCAAGTGATGGGGAAAAAAAATGAGAACTTGCAATGGGGTTTTTGGGAGCAAAGACATCATTCCAGTGGCATTGACACAGTGCCTTAAATTTGGATTGTGAATTGGCAGCAGCAGCAAGGTCATAAACCCTAGAAAAACATTACAAAACAAAAACAATTCGCTTAACATGCAACAGGCGCAGTCACGGTCAGCTTGCTCTCCACACTATTCCATCATTGGATAGCTGGCGAGCAATCACCCAGCAGGAACAGCAATGGTGACCCATTCTTCACAGTGCTTTCTTCGCTCGACAATTAACACCTTGCATGCGACATGTTGCAAAGCCTTCTTCTCCCCCCCCACGCAGCTTGGCTGCCTCCCATTGGCCGGGAACAAACGTTAGCATAATTATTCACTAAGACATGGTTAAAGAAATAACCTTTTTACAGTTACCCCCATCAGATGGCTGCAATTGGCTAAATCCAATGGTCCAGAAAGTTTGGCACTGACATGTTATAAAAGGTGACCCTTCATCCAATTAAACCTCAGTCCATTTGCATTTCTAACTTTTCTTCTCAATTTTCCATCTAGCCATGGCTTGTCACGATCAAGATGTAACACTGCTCAGCTTTTGGCCCAGCCCCTTTTCCATGCGAGTCAAGCTTGCACTGTTGCTCAAGGGCATCGAGCACGAAGATCTCTCCCAGGATTTGGGTAACAAGAGTAAGCTCCTACTCGAGTCCAATCCAGTTCACAAGAAGGTCCCGGTTCTCATCCACAAGGGCAAGCCCATCGCAGAGTCGGCCATCATCGTCCACTACATCGACGAGGTTTGGCCTGGAACATCGCCACTCTTGCCGCAGGACGCATTCCTCCGCGCACAGCACCGCTTCTGGACTGATTTCTTCGAGAAGAAGGTATTTCTTCGAGAAATTTGCTGCTATAACTCCTTACTTATCGATCACGCAGATTTCCGACTCCTTGGACCGATTCATCCGCAGCAACGGCGCTGCCGTGAACGAGGAGTTCATCCAAGAC